AGAAAAATAGACAACCATGTAAAGTATAACTAACACAGATTCTTGATGTACATCAAATTTATTGCTTCTCTAAAATGTGTATGCCAATTTAATAACGATAAGTTTTATAAAATAACAATATATCAATAAAATTTAATTATCTATTATAAACATTATCTTTTTTTCAAGTTTTTTCGATGCAAATAACTTTTGTTTAGATGAAAATAAAAGCAGTAAGTGAAGAGAATGAGTATTGATGTAGGTATTATGCTTTTTTTCTCGTTCATATTTACACTCTAGAAATAATGCAGTTCTTTTTTATACTACGGGCATAATGTTGTTGATTCAACTAGTATCAAATCTACGTATGTAACATCATTTCAGGATAATGTTTTTTTTTATTGAAATATCTTGTGCTTTGATTGGCTGTAACGGTGATAATTAATCATCTTATATTATACAGTAATAATATTGTTAATAAAACGATTAATATAGTTCGATTCATAGATTTTTTTCGAGAATATCTGATTATACGAAAAATTAACCGTATTCGAACGTCTCATATTCTTAAGAGGATATTTTTTATAACGTTTATCAACTAAATAATTCAATCGCAAATCATACAAATGTTTTTAAAGATAATTATTTGATTGTAGACAAATCTTTTTATGTAATAATATTTATATCATCTAAACAACTATTACTAAAAATTATTCTATTAATTATTAAATAAAAAACATAATAACTTCTTCAATGTTCACATTTTTTAAACGCGAGTTACAATGTTCTTCATAAAACTTAAAATCCTTCTTTGAATATATTATCAAAATAATTTCAATTAAATTTCTTCAATAATATATTCTTATTTGGTAAGAGATGATAAAAACGTGAATATTTCTTTGGTGAATAAAGTATGAGAAGAATATTAGATTACAATATCATAATTAAATACAAAACTAATTTAATACAGACATAAAACAAATAAGTTCTTACAAAAAAAGAATAGTTCAGTCATGTGTTTACATCATTAGTTTTAATTTCTAGTTTGTGTAAATGGATTAACCGTTGATACATTCATTTGTTGTCTTAAATAACGACGAAATAAATTATTCAAACCACCAAGAAGTGTTTTTCTAAATACACGAGATATTAATATTGTAATATAAAATGCTTTAGCATTATTTAAGTAATAAAAACTATTACTAAGATTAAAAACAAACAAAACAATTGAGAATTGTACAAAAGTTCTCGGATAATTCAGCGTAAATGTAAAATACATATACATTATAATCCATTGTATGGAAATAAAAGTTGTCACTAAAATTTGTGCAAATATAGTTACAATAAATTGATTTCGAAGATTTCGTCGATTTCTTTGCGCTGCATCAACCTGACATAAAATAGAATTGCATTAATGAAAAAACTAATAATTCAGTTACTTACGACTCGTCCGCGACTTCGACGAACATTTCGATAAGTAAGTAAAACAAATGTTATCATTGTTATTGGTTGAAGTAAACCACTAAAAATAATATATACTATGCTTGTTAACGTTGGATTTGTCGATACACAACCATATATGGGAACAAGATCATGATGAAGAGGAGCGTCCAATGTAAAAAGACCACTGGCGAGAATAGTAAGACTAATCATCCACGGCACTTTTCGAAGTTGAGTTATTCGACGAATAGTTGATGTATGATCACAAGTTATGGCAAATCGATCGATAATAGCCATACATAGAAAACTTATTGATAAATACGGAAGAAATGCCCAGAGAAAGATACTGAATTTACAAAGACCAGATGACGTATTCCATGGTAGAGTAATTCCATACTTACCTGAAAAATAATTTGGAAATGAATCAAGAGAAAGAGTAATAATATCAATGAATGAACCACAAAGTGAATAAATACAACAAGTATTGGAACGAAGTTGAGGTTGAAGATAAGTAAAAACATTACCAATAAATCCAAGAAAGCCAAAGATGAAAAAGATTAATGGTAAATAAATGAGAATATTTTGTGATACAAAATTAAGATTATCACTAAGTGATTTTGATGTTTGTATAAGATCGACTGTAGTTGTAATGTTATTGTCAATCATTTTAGAGATTTGTTCAGTATAAATTAGTATATGAAATGAATAATGAATGTATGTGAAATTAGTTTCTGTTTTTTCTGTAAGCATAAACTGAGTGAAAAGCGGGTATATATACTTGATGATCTGTAGATATAATTATTGTCTTTTTATAGAAAGTTCTCTGTAACTCATGAGAGAACGACTTTTGCCGCAAAGATTATATCTATGCTGTGTTATTTTAGAAAGAACTTGAAAAGATAAAAATTTTCTTTTTAATTATCCAGAAGGAAATGATAACGTTGGTGGACACTGTCGAATGCCTTAGATAATGTCGACCTTTTTTTCTGCTTGTATAATTATTTTGAGATTTAGAATCACTATTTATCACCTAATTACATTTTATTGAATTCATTAGATTATTCTACATATTTTCTACAAATCCGAATAAATTACAAACTAAAGTTTCAAACATAAAGTTCTAACTATACGAAGTAGACTAGATAAAACAAAGTATATCAAAATGGGATAAAATCTTGATCGCATTTCTCCATTCATAAACAATACTTATGAGAGTATTTTACTAAAGATTAGTTATAATACAAAAAACATTGCGTCGTTTTTTTATTACTAATTCGTGCGTTGTTTTGTAGAGGTATTCTAATTGATAGAACTCTGCATGTTCTTTTTTTAAGTATTTCAGTAAACTGGATATTTCTAAAAAAGATTTCAACGTAGACACTAGCCATGAAAGAAATTATTTTCTAACATCATTTATCTAAATACTTAAAATAGCGTTCACATCTCAAACTCTCATTAACAATAATAAAATTCATTTAAGTGGAAACTTAATGACGTCAAAATCTTTTTTAACAAATACTGAACATTGTTTATTCTAATAACTGTTACAGAAAATAATATCGATATATTATAAAAATATTTGGGATATTGTGAGAAGTTTTGATAGAAAAAACATGTTATGAGTATGAATAAATCCATCTTAAATAGTGAAATAGATTTCTTAAAACTATTTCAACAATGATATAACTCATAGTTAAAATTAAAGTAATTTTTTAAAAGTTATATAAGAACTGGAGGAGAAACTTTATTAGATTTAGAATTATAATTTCAATGATGTATTTCACAGTGCAAATAATATATTAGAGAGTAGAAGATAAATATAATACATCAAATAAAACTGAGATTTGAAACATAAATTTTCGGTAGAAATAATACAGTAATTAAAAGTATATTTATCAGAAATATAATTATAGTATTAATCAAGGTTTTACAGAATTAAAGAATATATTTTTTGTCTTGTTATATCTCTGAACTGTAAATTCAAATTAGTTTACTTATTTGAATTGTAAAAAAGAATTTTTGTAAGATGAAACTTAATTTTGTTTAAGCCATTAGTATGGTTTGATAATGAAGAGATGGTAATTAAAGATATTCTCATATATAATGAAAATTAAAAGGATTATTATTAGAAAGCTTTACGATGAAATAGTTATAATTGATTGTAAAATTCCTTTATATACATTTTATATGTTAATCCTGACGTCAACAAAATTAGATTCTATTCAGAGAAAAAAAAGGATTTAATGTGTGTGTGACTGTTTTGATATATTGTTATATGTCAAAATGGCTACTATAATCGATTTAATAATAATTCTTTAATCAAGATTTTAGAGGATCTCGTAGAATTCATTAGATTTCACCAGGATCTGCTTTCTCCCGTTGCAATATGTATATAGGGCAAGGTGAGAAACGAGAGAACCAACATTTTAACAATACTCATTTATTTGATCAAAAATCTTACAATGATTGTGTAGTTGATCATATGATGGCTTATTATAATCTAATATTAATGAGAAGACAAAGTGTATCTATAATATTACATTATGATATTGAATGTAGGTGATAATTAAACATTTGAACTATACGTATGAGAAAAGAAAAGAAAAGAATAGAGGTTCGTAAAGGTGATCAACTTCTGTCAATCGCATAGATGTGAAGTTAATTGATATTGTATATAAGATGATACGTAAAGCTTTTTATAATTTTCTTATTATTCTAATTCTATTACTGATGAATATGCATCTATGAAGTTCAATAGTTATATATATATTCCTAAATACTAAAATGAATTGACATATTTGATATTCTGCTGTTTGTATTGGATCGAAGGATATTTATGTGTAACGACAAATAAACTATTGAGGGACTGGTCCTGTTTACATTCATAGGCAGAGTTCAAGTTTTGTCATTACTTCTTTAACACGATTTCTAGTTCGATAACAGTTAACGAGAATCGCTTTTCTAATGAACCTATTATTACGATAGCTTAGTCATCGGCAAATCGAGTTAAATACCGACATTCCAATGAAGGTAAACTATCAGCAAGCAAAAAATCTTCTTTGATAAAATTTTTCTTTCCAACAGTCCAATAAAAGAAACGTTTATATAATTTTAGTAAGAAATGCAATGCTTGAAAGGTACAAAGAAAACAAGTCAAATACCGTTTGTCTGATTTGATTCATGAAAGTTATCAAATGATGTTGCTCAATTGTCGCCAGTTATTGGTAACAATATACTCAAACTTCTATCACTAATACTTTTTGAATATGACATGGTTGAATTCCTTTCGCCTTTGGAGAATTCGGTTCAAAAAATCCGAAATCATTCAATGATCTATCTTCATCTGAAGAAATAAACTACTGAAAAAAAGCAAAATAGAAGTTTATTTAAACCTTAAACAAATTGTGTCGTTCTTACAGACGATATTTCAAGTTCAACGATTAGTTTTGCAACAGTAAGACTTTTCATAATATCTCAGATAAACTTTTTCTTAAAATATCGCTCGAGAAAATCTACAGCTTCACGAATTACTTTAATGTAGTCAGATTTGTGAGATACTAAATTAAAGACACGACTCAAATTCAATGAACAAGATTTAGAAAATTACCCGAATCACCACGAAGTATACCATAAAGTTTGACATTAGTATAATCTAATTTATCGTTATTGAAGAACTTCGTTTCGCAAGACCTATACATGATAAATATATATGATTGAGAAAATGTCGTCAACATGTCATACCTTACCAGCGCATATAGCTAATTATGAAAAACAAAAAAACAAAGTTAATTCATTTATTCTATTGATATACCAAGATTCATTAATATTTTCAACTGCATGCATCATGTATTCATTATAAATACGATCGATTTCAGTATCAGTTAATAATTTTGGCATTGCTCTTTCAACACGAATCATTTTATCAAATGAATCTAGTTGTGTTCTCAACGCAGGATCATAGACATGTGAATCCATCGAGAATGTGTTTTTTAAATTATCAATAATTGCATGATACATCATTTTTACATCGTCGAAAAATGTAGCTCGATCTACTGCCGATATTTCTATCAAAAGTCGATGTGCTTCTTCTCCTAAACGAAAGAAATTACAACATATGAAGGTAAACATTTAGAGTACTTCAGATTTTTCTATTACGTAAGGATTTCAGTGTAATCTAGTAATAAATTCAGCTTATCAATCTGGAGCTTTTTTGTTGATAATTGTTTTCCAGCTAACTTAAAATCAATATCTAAAAGAGCACCACCAATTGTAGATTCAACATATTCATATCATCAAAAAGATAACAAAACAATTCAATAGAGATCGCTTAAGTTAAAGTAAAGTAAATGAATAAGTGGTCCTTCTTTTTGAAAGCACGTCAGACATCGATCAAAGATCGATCGGCATAAAAATGAGATCAAACTGAATCCAACTTTTGATATGCTTCATGTTAATATAGCTTTGATAGCAAATAAACGAGAAAATATTCTCATAACATATCAAATTGTTCTAGTAGAAACAGTGATACGTTTCCAAAGAAACGACATAAAGATTATATCACTTACTAAGAGCCCGTTCAATTCCTTTCCCAAGTAAAGCCCATCCGCTTTCTAAAAAAGAAGGAGTGCTACCGAACCCTCAAAAAAGGTTCTGTAATTGAATAAAAGCTTCCAAATGTGCAGCACTCTTAATGGTTCTTAGTTGTACCCACACGACTGAACCTTCTCTTTCTGAACCATTTTTTGAGATTCCACACAGTAAAAAAGGATCCCATAGGAAAATACGAGATCTTGGAAGGTTCATATTACGTCCTGCGCAAATCAATAGGGTTTCAAAGAATTTAATATAAACTTTGAAAACTTTCGTATTTTCCTGTTGAAATCTTTTCTGCTGTGCGGACCTCAAAAGATGGTTCAGGAAGAGAAGATTCAGCCCTGTGGATACAATCCAGAACTATTAAGGGTTCTGCACATTTTGATGTGCTATTTTTTGACACATTTGGAAGCTTTTAGTCATTTACAGAACCATTTTTGAGGATTCGGTAAAACTCTTTTTTTTGATAGGATTAATCTGCCAATTACTTTTTAAATCATTGATTCGAATAAGAATTGAAAATTTTGGTTTTTAGCATTCTTTTTATAATTTTATTTATTCAAAATCATATTTTGTTCCAATGATGATAACAATATTAAATTACAAAATCATACTTAGATATAAACCTTATTTAATACAGACATACAACAAATAAGTTTTTACAAAAAAAAAGGAATAGTTCAGTTATGTACATATAACTCTGTATACTGCCATGTTTTACATCATTAGTTTTAATTTCTAGTTTGTGTGAATGGATTAATCAATGATACATTCATTTGTTGTCTTATATAACGACGAAATAAATTGCTCATACCACCAACAAATGCTTTTCGGAATACACGAGATGTTAAGATTGAAACATAAAATGCTTTAACATTATTCAAGTAATAAAAACTATTACTAAGACTAAAAACAAAGATAATAATCGATAAATCTACAGGAGTTAACGTGTAAATTGGAGCAAATGTAAAATACGTATAGGCTATAATCCATTGTAATGCAATGAAAGTTGTTATTAGAATTTGTGCAAATATAGTTACAATGAACTGATTTCGAAGATTTTGTCCACATTTTCTGCCTACTTCACTCTAGAAGAAAATCAAATCATATTAATTTACAAATTATTAATTCGGCTACTTACAACTCGACCACGACTTCGACGAATATTTCGATAAGTAAGTAAAACAAATATTATCATTGTTATTGGTGAAATTAAACCAATAAGAACAATATATGAAATACTTGTTACCATCGGTTGTATTGATATACATAAATATCCATACATAAGATCATAATTGATAGGAGCATATAATGAAAAAAGACCACTGGTGAGGACAGTCAGGCCAATCATCCATGGTACTATTCGAAGTTGAGTTATTCGCCGAATAGATGATGTATGATCACAAGTTATAGCAAATCGATCGATAATAGCCATGCATAGAAAATTTAATGATAAATGTGGCAAAAATACAAAGATAAAGATATTGAACTTGCAAAGAACAGATGACAAATACCATGGTATATAAATTCCATATTTTGCTGCAAGGAACGTTGGAAATGAATTAATCGAAAGATTAATAATATCAATGAATGAACCACAAAGTAAATAAATACAACAAGTATTTGAACGAAGTTGAGGTTGAAGATAAGTAAAAACATTACCAATAAATCCAATAAGACCAAAGATGAAAAAGATTAGTGGTAAATAAATGAGAATATGTTGTGATGTAAGATTAAGAGTATCACTTAACGACTTTGATGTTTGTATAAGATCGACTGTAGTTGTAATGTTATTGTCAACCATTTTAGGGATTTGTTTGTAGAATAAAGATATTTGTTCAGTATACATTATAGTATATGAAATGAAGAATGAATGTATGTATGCGTAGTATTTTTGTCTGTGAGCATAAACTGAGTGAAAAGCGGGTATATATATATGATGATTTGCACTAATAATTATTCTGTCTTTTTATAGAAAGTTCTCTGTATGTCATGTGAGAACTACTTAATTCTGCTACAAAAATTATATACGTGCTGAGTTATTTTTGAAAGAAATTGAAAAGATAAAATTTTTTTTGATTATTAAGAAGGAAATAACAACGTTGGTGTACATTGTCGAATGTTCTAGATAATGTCGACCTTTCTGTTTGCTTCTATAATTATTTTGACATTAAGAATGATTATTTATCACCTGAGTACATTCTATTGAATTCATTAGATTATCCTACATATTTTCTACAAATCCAAACAAATGGCAAACTAAAGTTACAAACATAAAGTTCTAACAATATGACGTATACTGGATAAAACAAAGTAATCAAAATGAGACAAAATCTTAACTACATTTGTCCATTCTTAAATAATATTTATAAGACTATTTTATTGAAAAATCATTGAACTTAGTTCTTATGGAATATTTCTGATGAGATTACTTATGATGTAAAAAAAACAATTGCATCGTTATTTTCTATTGCTCATTTGTTCTTATTTTGCTGAGGTATTCTAGTTGATAAAACTCTGCATGTTCTTTTTTTAAGTATTTCAGTAAACTGGATATTTATAAAAAAAGACTTCAACTTAGAATCTATAAACAGCATCTATCTAAATAAGTAGAAGAACGTTCACATCTCAAACTCTCATTAACAATAATAAAGTATATTTAGGTGGAAAAATAATGAGTTTGAATCTGCTTTGACTAACACTGAGCATTGTTTATTTTTAATAACTGTAGCATAAAATAATATCGATATATTAATTTTTCATATCTCTGTATATATTATAAAAAATATTTGGGATATTGTGAGAAGTTTTTGTAGAAAAAACATTTTATGAGTATAGAGAAATTGTCTTAAATAGTAAAATAGATTTATTGAAACTATGTAAACAATAATATAATTCATAGTTAGAATCAAAAATGGATTTATTAAAGTCTAATAATTGTATGAAAAACTTTATTAGATTTAGAGTTCTAATTGCAATAATGTCTTTTTAGTGCAAATAGTAGCAGCATAGGAGATAAATATAAAATGTCAAATGAAAATAGAGATTTGAATTATAAACTTTCAGTAGAATGAATACAGTAATTAAAAATATATTTATCACAATTCCAACTATAGTATTAATCAAGGCTTTATAGAATTAAGGAATGTATGTTTTTGTCTTGTTGTACCTGGAACTCTAAAGTTAGATTAGCTTACTTATTTGAATCGAGAAAAAAACATTTTTAGAAGACAAAAAAAGTTAATTTTGTTTAAGTCGTTAGTATTGTTTGATAATGAAGACAAATAATAATTAAAGCCATTCTGATATAATATGTAAATTAAAAATGTCATTTTTAGAGAGCATTGTGACGAAATAGTTATCGTTCATTGTAAAACTCTTTTATAGACATTTTATGTATGTTAATTCTGACGTCAAGAAAATAGTGATAAATTATCTAAAGCATATTAGATTCTATTCAGAGGAAAAGAGGGTTTGATTATTTTGATATATTGTTATATGTTGAAGTGACTATTATAATTAACTTAATAACAATCCTTTAATCAAGATTTTAGAGGACCTAGTAAGGTTCATCATCAGAGTTCACCAGGATCTGCTTTTTCCTTTGTGATATGCACGTAGTACACGGTGAGAAACAATAGAACCAACATTATAACGATGCTCATTGATTATTCATGACTGGTCATAACCTAATATTGATGAGAAGACAAAGTGTATCTTTAATATAATATACTGATATTAAATACAATTGATAATCAAATGCTGGAACTATATATATGAGAAAGAAAACAACGAATACTCGTGAAGGTGATCAACTTCTGTTAATCATTATGATTACCAATCCTATGTGTAGATATGTAATTAAAATATATGAATGTTTAATATAGCGAATTGATTGTTTATTTAATAACTTGAATGTAAATGTATCATCTTAGCAATCTATTGACAAAAACTATTTTAATACTTAAACAGCAATCTATTCCATTTATATAGGATGTAGGCAATTAGATGGATTTTGGTATTGTTTATAGAAAGATGAGATATCAATTATCAATATTATTGCTCAATTGGAAATAATTCTACAAGAAATCAATGTTTATAGATCAGTTTTTCTTCGTGTGTTTGATTTTATAGGATATAGTCGCAGTTTGATAGAATTTACTGGTTGACTATTTTTTTTTTTTTTTTTTTTATTTATTTAGGCAAAATGAGACTGACGACGTTAAAGGTCCTTACAGTACATGATTGAGTTAGAAGAGAGAGAAAGAAAGAAAATAGAAAAAAAAAAATAGTATAGTTTAGTATATATAAATAGAAGAGTAGCATTAAACAGTAACAAAAGAGGTACAAAAACAAAACAGATCAAGACCAAGAGGAGAGAAACAAGAATATGTAATACATAGTTACATAATTATTACAACAACAGTATCAAGATCAAAAAAGAAAGAAGACAAGAGGAAGGAGAAAAGAAAAAAACTTCAGAACGATTCAGAGAAATCAGCCAAGGTCATGACATCATCAATATCATAGTTGATGGTGGAAAGATTGGGAGGAATACTTGCGCACCACGTAGCGCATTTTTCCAAAACAGAGGTGTGGCTGATGAATCTTTTGGTTCTATGTGTACCCTTAACTGGATATTTATTCGTCAGCCACTGTTCCCGGAAAAAATTGACGTTAGCTAATTCGAAAATTAGTCTGCCATCAATCGTATCCGACCAGGCTTCGAAATACTTTTCGAAGTAGTTTTTACAGCGGTCTTCAAGGGATTTTTCATTGAGACAGAACGCAAAAAGATCATTATTAATGTGCAGGGCATAGAGAACTCTACGAAGGCAAACGAAGTAGAAGTGGTTCAAGTCTTGTTGCTGTGTTTCAGTAAAGAGTGGGTACAAGGGAAACAACCATACGAATAGAGGATAGACATAAGAGAAGAAGAGGATTTTGCGTAGAGAAGGGGAGGTCCTACGAAAAAGCCTAAATGAGTTAATTTGAGCAATTCGTTGTCTAATCTTAAGCTTAGATTGCTCAATCATAAGGCCGAAACCTAACTTGGGCGTGACAACGTAACCAAGATATTTTAACTGATTTGTCCAATTGATGGGATGTTCACCACAACGCAGATCAAACTTAGGATATCCGGGTACTCTGGATGAAAAAATAGCCTGTGTCTTATTGTAATTTAACGGTTGAACCGTTAAAACAGAGTAAAATTCTAACTGATCAAAGAAATATTTGAGTTTCTTCTCGAGATTTAAACATTGGAGCGAGTACTTCAATCCAATAGAACCGGCTAGAACAGCTGCAAGGTCGTCAGCGAACATAAAGCTCAAACATGAACTCAGATATTCGCACATATCGGAATGATAACAGATAAAGAGAGTCGGAGTAAAGATGGACCCTTGAGGTCCACCTCTGAAAATATTGAACCACCTCGACCGCTTACCACAAATCTCAATGAAGGCACGCCTATCCCTCAACCATGTGTTGATCCAAATCCGATAAGCCCTAGGAATTCCTAACAATTTCAGTTTGCCAATACAACCATCATACCAGAGAGCATCAAACGCGCTCTTGAAATCCACGAAAACGGATGCCACTGGACAACCATTAGACATCAGACTACGAACTTGATCAAAGAAAAGAAGAACTCTAGTTTGTAATCGGAATTTCGAACGAAATCCCGATTGGGCATCGGGTAGTAGTCCACGTTTTTGCAGGACTTCATTAAACCTTGTTAGGAAGATCTTTTCGTTCACTTTGAGGAAACAATCGATAAGTGATATAGGGCGCGTAGCATCAGGGCTGCAAATATGATCTTTTTTAGCTAATAGCAGAACACGAGAATCTTTCCATTTGGAAGGAAAGATACCATGCAAGAGAGAATTATTGAAAATCTTTAGTAATAACGACCAGTACATAGGAGGAAGGAAGCTAAACATGTGATTAGATAAACCGTTTGGATCTAAAGATTTCTTTTTCTTGCGAGAACGCACAATTTCCAACACCTCGTTAAAGCTACATATAGGTATGACCTCATCTTCATTATCCCAGTCAGCTCTGCAAGGAATATCAGTATATGGATGAGGACGATAGACTTCAGGTTCGCTAAATAGGTTCTCGTAATAATCAGCTGCCACATCACTCATCCTTTGAGGATCATTCTCAAATCCTTGATTGTTTGGAAGAATGAATCCTTGTAAAGAAGACGAGGAGGATTTCATAAATTTTTTGGTTTTAGACCAAAAAGAGATAGAGCGAGATGAGGGAGAATTACGTGATGAAATTGAACTCGAGAACTGTTTAGAAAGAAACGTTTTCAATTCAATCTTAGCAATTTTTCTTCTTGTTCTAACTATATTTTTTAAAGATAAATCACCAGTACGTTTTTGCCTGAAGGACAATGCTCTTGTATAAGACATAAACATCCGAAGTTCAGGTGGAATAGCAATTCGATACTTATTCAAAGGAAAGAGAAGAGTACAGCGTGCGATGAGAAGATTCAGAAAAGTAGTGTAATCGTTGTAAACGATATCTAGCTGATTAAGTTTCCAATGTTTTTCCCAAAACGGATAAACATAAGCACTAAAAAATTGGAATACTTTCCAGTGAACATTCTTACCGAAGACAACTTCATTTGTCTTACATGGGACACTACAGAGAAGAGGTTTATGATCACTAGAAGAACCTGATTCATAAGTTTGAATGTTAACAAAAATACCGGATGAAAAAGCATAATCGATTGTACGCAAGGAACGAAGAGAAGTGAAAGAGTCAGGGAGGAAAGGAGAGAGTGAGTGACTATCAGCCCAAGATAAGAGAATATTACCTTTAGCTATATCAGTGTTCAAATCGACATTAAAATCACCAAAAAACACACAGTTGGATGAAACGAAAGTGGACAGATCGTCCCAAGACCAGCTTCTACTTTCGGACGCATACACTCCAATAATTCTTAAAATACTATTTGTCTCATCATCTTGGATAATGTCCACCGCACATACGCTTGGAATATTGCTAACTACTCTAACACAATTCAGCGCATTACGAACCAAAATCAAACAACCTCCGTGTGAGTTTTCGCCCTCCTGAAAAAACAATTTGTAATTCAAAAAAGTTTGGCGACAGTGAGTCATATCGAATGATCCTGTTTCCAGCAATATCATTATATCAAAGCGAAAGGAATTGGATAGCAGTATAACATCCTGGAGACGTAAGTCGAGACCTCTGACGTTAAATGAAAGAATTGAAAGAGAGTTGATACTGGACGAAGTATCAATGACCTGGTGTTTTTTCCATTGTTGAAGTAGACTAGATAGAAGAGAAGAACTTTCCCATTCGGAAAGAATGTTACACAATAGAGAAAAGTCAAAGGAAGAAAGACAAGATTCAGCACAAGATAAAAAATTTTCACGAACATTGACAGTAAGAGAAGAAGTACAATACGAAAACGAACTAGCAAAAGGAGAAAGTGTCATAAAGTGACTTTTTTACCTGAGATAATTTGATCAATTAATGCACGTTTAATCTGAATTTGAGATTTGAATTCAGTGACAACATTTCCAGTAGCTTTAGGATTAGTTTGAACAAGAAAATTTGAGATTAAATCTAATGTTGGAAGAATCAATCTTTTAATTAATTTATCATTGTTGTCACAAGCTTCTTTCGTAATTTTGTCATTTGTGATTATACGTTCAATTTTTTCTAACATCAGCTCGTCATTCTTGTTTTTACTTGTCATAAACTCATTAAACTCATTTTCTTTCGAACATAAACGATTTAACATAAATTTCATTTCATTCATACCGGATAATAATTCTTCGATTTTCTGGTTAGATGCAGCATAAGATGATGGTAGAGTTGTTCCTTGTGGTAGTTGAAGAGAAGGATAAAATGCAGGATCATGTACGTAATTAAAATTTTTGTTTGCTGGAGTATTTGTCGATAAGAGTTTCTTCGTGAGTGCAGCACGATAATCTTTTACAACGGCACAACGAAGAGAATTGGAAGCATGAGAGCCGCCACAATGAACACATTTGATCTCATTTGAGCAAGTATGTTGACGAAGATCAGGACAATTAATACCACATGTTCTACAACTGGTTGACTATTTCAGTTGAAATCTTTGCTCTATTTATTTTCTTGCTGGAAGTATAGTAGATTTGATAGATTTAATCACAGATCGTACATATCTGAATTATTAATGAAGGAAATATCAAACATTATATAGTCTACATTGCATAAATTTGTCTTGTTTATATTATTTAGGACATATAGTATGTTATTTGATTTTACTCCTATGAATCATTATTTAATAGTATTATTGAATAGTCATAGACATCAAGTAAGTAATTTTAAAGTTCAGTTATAGTTGTATGTTACGCATTTAGCATATCATATTATTCGCTGTATGAATTAGAAGACTTTTTTTGTTTTGAAACTAATATAATAAATACTCTTATCAAATATTTTTCGACATCGAATACAGTGATTTGACTAAGCACTACTGATCATGATTACTATTTTAATAGTTGTAGGGTTTATTTTCGATTTCTGTATTATTAGAAATATTTATTAACGTTAACGCATAACAATGAATAATATAAATGTATAATATACTTCGAAAAATTAAGTTCACCTTTTATAATAATAACGATGAATCTATTAATTGCCTTTTAATGAATAAAATCATTGATTCGAATAAAATTTAAACATTTTGTTTTCAACATTCATTTTATAATTGTATTTATTCAAAATTATATTTTGTCCTTAAGATGATAAGAATATTAAATTATAAAATCATTCTTAAACACATGCTCCATTTAATACAGACATACAACAAATAAGTTTTTACAAAAAAAAGGAATAGTTCAGTTATGTACATATAACTCTGAATATTGTCATGTTTCATATCACTAATTTTTCTTTCTAGTTTGTGTAAATGGATTAACCACCGACACGTTCACTTGTTGTCTTATATAATGACGAAATAAATTCCTCATACCACCAATAAATGCTTTTCTAAATACACGAGATGTTAAGATTGAAATATAAAATGCTTTAACATTATTTAAGAAATAAAAATTACTACTAAGACCAAAAACAAAGATAATAATCGATACTTGTACAGGAGTTTCCGTGTAAATTGGAGCAAATGTAAAATACGTATATGTTATAATCCATTGTAATGCAATGAAAGTTGTTATTAGAACTTGTGCAAATATTGTCACAATGAACTGATTTCGAAGATTTTGTCCACGTGTTCTGCCTACTTCACCCTAAAATAGAATAGAATCATATTAATTTAAAAATTAACAATTTAGTTACTTACGACTCGTCTACGACTTCGACGAACATTTCGATAAGTAAGTAAAACAAATATTATCATTGTTATTGGTGAAATTAAACCAATAAGAACAATATATGAAATACTTGTTGCCATCGGTTGTGTTGATATACATAAATATCCATACATAAGATCATAATCGAGAGCACCACACAATGAAAAAAGACCGCTGGTGAGAACAGCCAGACCAATCATCCATGGCACTTTTCGTAGTTGAGTTATTCGACGAATAGATGATGTATGATCACAAGTTATAGCAAATCGATCGATAATAGCCATGCATAGAAAATTTAATGATAAATGTGGCAAAAATACCAAGATAAAGATATAAAATTTGCAAAGAGCAGATGACAAATACCATGGTATAGTAATTCCAGATTTCGCTGCAAGAAATGTTGGAAATGAATTAATCGAAAGATTAACAATATCAATGAATGAACCACAAAGTAAATAAATACAACAAGTATTTGAACGAAGTTGAGGTTGAAGATAAGTAAAAACATTACCAATAAATCCAATAAGACCAAAGAGGAAAAAAACCAGTGGTAAATAAATGAGAATATTTTGTGATATAAGGTTAAGCGTATCACTAAGCGATTTTGATGTTTGCATAAGTTCGACTGTCGTTGTAATGTTATTGAACACCATTTTAGGGATTTGTTTGTAGAATAAAGATACTTGTTCAGTATACATTGTAGTATATGAAATGAAGAAAGTAGCTGTGTGGAATTACTTTTGTTTCTGTAAGCATAAACTGAGTGAAAAGCGGGTATATATATATGATGATTTGCACTAATAATTATTCTGTCTTTTTATAGAAAGTTCTCTGTAGGTCATGTGAGAACTACTTCTGCTGCAAAAATTATATACGTGCTGAGTTATTTTGAAAGAAATTGAAAAGATAAAAATCTTGTTTTTGATCATTAAGAAGGAAATAACAACGTTGCTAGACATTGTCGAATGCCTTAGATAATGTCGACCTTTTTTTTTGCTTGTATAATTGTTTTGACATTAAGAATGATTATTTATCACCTGAGTACATTCTATTGAATTCATTAGATTATTTTATATATTTTCTAGCAAATTCGAATAAATTACAAACTAAAGTTAGAAACATAAAACTGTAACTATACGAAGTAGACTGGATGAAACAAAGTGCATACAAATGAAATTAAATCTTGACCATATTTCCACATTGTTAAATAATATATATTCAGTATTTTTATTGATTCGAGAGTATTTTATTGAAAAATAATTTTCTTTAGTTCTAATAAAATGTTTGAGAATATACATGACATGGATGCATAAAATAATGAGATTTTCCGTTATCATATACTACAATTCATTATGAAAATGATACATTAAGTTAGATTAGGTATGATGCAGAAAAACAATTACATCGTTTTTTTTACTAGTAATTTGTGTGTCTTTTGTCGAAGTATTCCACTTGATAGAAACTGTGCATGTACTTTCTTTTGATTATTTCAGTGAATCTGATATTCCTAAAAATATTTCAACTTAGAAACGAAACGAACATGAAAGATATTATTTTCTGATATCATTTATCTAAATACGTAGATTGACGATCACATTAACAATAATAAAGAACATTGTAGTTAAAAAATAATAAGGTTAATTTTATTTTGAGAAATATTGAGCATCGTTTATTCAACATTAAATTATGTCGATATATTAATGCTTTGCATCTCTCTCTCTATATATATATTATAAAAATATTTGAGATATCATCATAAGTTCTGGTTGAAAGAATATATTATTGATATGGATAAACTATTTTGAATAGTAAAATAGATTTCTTGAAACGATTTAAACAATGAGAAGAAATATTCTTCAATTTTTAGTGATAAATGTTGTTGAGATTTACAATTCATAGTTAAAATCAGAGTAAATTTTCATAAATTATATAAGAATTGGAAGAGAAACTTCATTACATTTAGAGGTGTAATTGCATTAACGTATTTTTTAGTACAAATAGTATAACAGTATAGGAGATAAATATAATATATCAGATAAAAATTGAGATATGAATTATAAGTGTTTGGTAAATAGAATACAGTAATTAAAAATATATTTATCACAATTCTAACTATAGTATTAATCAAGGATTTGTATAATTAAAAAATGCTCTTTTGATCTTGTTCTATCTCGGAACTGTAAATTTAAATTAGTTTACGTGTTTGAATCAAGAAAAAACATTCTTATAAGATGAAACTTAGTTTTCTTCATGTCATTATTATTGTTTGATAATGAAGAGAAATGATAATTACAGTTATTCTCATATAATATGAAAATTAAAAGTGTTATTATTACGGATCTTTGCCTTGAAATAGTTATAATTAATTCATTATAAAATTCTTTTATATATTATATTTATATTAATTCTGACGTCTACAAGATGTTAAGAAATATAATTAATTATGGGCTTTATATATATTAGATTCTATTCAGAGGAAAAGAGGGTTTGATTATTTTGATATATTGTTATATGTTAAAGTGACTATTATAATCAACTTAATAACAATCCTTTAATCAAGATTTTAGAGGACCTAGTAAGGTTCATCATCAGAGTTCACCAGGATCTGCTTCTTCCTTTGTGATATGCACGTAGTACAAGGTGAGAAACAATAGAACCAACATTATAACGATACTCATTGATTATTCATGACTGATCATAACCTAATATTGATGAGAAGACAAAGTGTATCTATAATATAATATACTGATATTAAATACAATTGATAATCAAATGTTGGAACTATATATATGAGAAACAAAATAATGAATACTCGTGAAGGTGATCAACTTCTGTTAATCATTATGATTACCAATTCTATGTGTAGATATTTAATTAAGTTATATGAATGTTTAATATAGCGAATTGATTGTTTATTTAATAACTTGAATGTAAATGTATTATCTTAACAATCTATTGACAAAAACTATTTTAATACTTAATATTCATTTGTATGAATAAGTAGACTTTCTGTTTCGATATTAATATAATAAATACTTTTCTCAAAATGTTTTTCAAAATCAAATACATTGATTATAACTAGAAGCATTAATGATGATTATTATTTCAATAGCAATAAGGTTTATTTTTGATATCTATATTGTTAGAAATATTTATTAACTTCAACGCGTGACAATGAATAACACAAAATGTATATTGTATTTCGCAAAATTAAGTTCATCTTTTACAATAATAACTATCAATCTGTTAATTATTTTTTTTCTAATTATATTAATTGCAAATTATGTTTTGCTCTATCTTTACATACTTAGTGCTTGTCTTTTTCATGAAATATTTGTGGAGTTTGGATAAAAATCTGATGAAACATTATATATTTTTATTTGATATAAATATTAATTTTGTTAATATATTTTGAACTCGATACATAACTAAATTTATATTAATATCAACATTCATTCTATCCATCTTCCATGATTCATATTCAACAATTTAGTCAGTGAATATGATTTCTTTTAATTCTTGAAAATTCTATTAATTCTTTTTGGATTTATATTTCAAAGTGATTAATAAAAATTTATATAATTTTTTAATAAAATAGTAAAAATCGACTCATGGTGTAACTGTAAATGAACTGCGACCAAAATCATAGATAGATGAATGTGGATGATGTGATCCACATTCTCCATTACAAAGATATGCAGTTACATTATAAGTACCAGTTGGAAAAGCATTGCATGAATCTATTTTAAAGAAAAATATGTAGAATTAAATATAGTATTTAATATTCATACCATCAAAAGGATTGCAAGTTCTACTAAGAGTTTTAACACCAATTCTTAGATCATAAGTTCCAGGTTTTTTTGCATCAAGTCCAAAATTATTACTTGCTGTTTGATTTTGAGGAGTAACTATAGTAATTGTAAGCATACCAGGTCCTGTTCCATTCTTCGATTGAAATGAACAATCAATAATAAATTCTGTACCTACACGACCAGTAGATGGTATCATTTGAAAATCAAGAAATTTTGCATCACCATTATCATTAACTAAATATTTCATTTGAAAATCAAATTAAAATATATATTCAAAGTTTTTATTTTACTTGGACATAATTTTGCAATTTGACAATACCAAATAGGATCTATATCACTATGTTCAAGTATTCGAATAAGTTCACCAATACCTAAAGCATTGCAAACAACAAGACAAACAAATCCAGCTGGTTGAGAGCCTGTTTTATTAGCCAAAGCATCGCATAAATCACCACAATTTTCAATAACACCTTCATCAAGTATCAAATTAAGTAAAACATTGATTGCACTAACAGCTTCACTAATACAATCATCACAGACACTCATATCAATTCCACTTTTGTCACTTGCCGAACTCATCTCATAAATATTATATGGTGTTTCATCAGAAACGTGTATACCACTGACTGCAGTGATCGTAATAAAAACGAATAAACCAATACATGTATACATGGCTTTCTCGAAAGGATTCAATCTTGTCTATTTAACTATGCTTTTACATGAGTATATATATATTTATTTTTATTTATTTTCATGAGAGATGTACAAGCTGTTTCATCTATTCGGTAGTTAAGACTATTTTATTTTTGGTATATCACATATGGTAGGATTCACATAGATTTTTTCTTTCATTAGTTTATCAAGTTTGATCAATTGATCATTTTCATTGCTCTTTGTTATTTTTAGTAGTAGAATTTATTCAATGCAAACAATTAATGTCACAAAAAAAACTCTTGAATAATATTTATATAATATCTCTGATGTTTGTGAGAAATCGAATGTATTATATTCAATTTTGTAAGAATATAAATAAGCTAAAATTAATAAAGTCCTTTGTTATTTTGACGATAAAGATTTTTACAGACATAAAATATGTGAGAAATTGAAAATCTGTCTTTTCGTATTTCAAGTGTATGAGAGAATTTAGAGGTACTGTTGTAATCACGTGTTACACATTCTCATAATGAAATTTAAATATATTATTGAACAGTTCGATATATTACTTCGGAAAAATTTCAAAATTTATTCATTGTTTATATAGACTCGATTAAAATCAAAGACTAACACAAGTGATGTACTATACTATGTAAAAGCAAAGATAGCAAGGTAAAAGCTGAGTAAATCTGTTGAGATATATTCGAGAAGAAATTAAATGTTTTTCATTTATTTCAATTAGAAAAGAATTGATAAAAGTTTTATTATAATATTTTTAATCAATCAATAAAATATTTTATGATTAACATAATAAATATAAAGATTATTTTACTGAAGTCATTCGAAACTGTTCTCATACTATGAGATGTTGGATTTAAGAATTTATCCAAATCAAATATAATTGTACTCTTTTCACCAATTTGTTCAATTATATTGGATAAACCACAATCTTTTGATCGGCATTGAACTTCTCGACCTTCATAACGTACTCGATTCGTCATGTTAAAATTAACAGTACGGAATATCTTACTATGAGGAGTATTAGGAGAATCACAAACACTACAAATCTCTGTATGATTCATTGTATTCATCCAAGTTATCGAGCACTGGTCACACAGTTCTGGAGATGGGTTAATGTAGCAGGATATTGATGTACTGTTTGAGAAAGATCCACACCAATGACTATCGAATGGTTCAGTCGGATAAAGAATCGGTACAAGATCCTCAAATTTATCATTAAATGTTAATGAACTTAATAAATTTTTTAAAACCATCAAACTATTACAATTATTCGTTGAACATTCATAATTAAGGCCACGTTCTAATTTAGGTTGATCTCCTTCAAGTCCAATATCGATATAAAGCATATGAAGATTATCGATCTGTTTTTTCTTTCCTTCAGCTTCTAATAATATTTCTGTACGTATTGGATTTTCATGCCAATAAACATCGATTGAACAAGAAGATCCATCATTAACAATCTCACAATCTACGAGTTCTTCAGGAAGATTGTCAGCATTAATAGTATAATTAAATACATTCATTCTCGAACAATGGTAGCAAGATAACTGACATGATATCGGATACCATAATGCCAAAAGAATATATATAGAGAGTAATTTCATTGAGAATTGATACTTCGTTTGATTTAATGAATAAGTTCTTGACTTAGAAACGAAACTTAACAAAAAGAAAAAGTATTATAAAAAAACAAAAAAGGTAAGAAATATTTCTTTTAATATTTATTAATGTTATCTTTTACAGATAATTATTGCATTATCATTACAATGATAAAAAGGAATGTTATTTGCCTCTTTATAAATATATCATCTTTAACTTCATAGTAAATAAACTCTAGGATGATATTTGATTACCTGAAATTCATAAAAGATACACAGAAAGATAATGCTATAAATTATTTTTTTTGTTCTCTTTCTATACAAATAACAAATAAACAAACAATAAAAGAAATCAAAAATCAAACATGAAAAACAATTTCTGTCAAAGTCGAAAATAGACTTGCTAATTTTGTTTATTATATTCATTCATATCACATGCACAGTCATTCTTTTTCATGAAATATATTAGTTCCCTATATAGAAATTTTTCATGTAGCCTTGTACGATAAAGGCAACGTCATCTATATACTAAAGGTGATTCGTAGATATATATGATAAAAATTTGAGTATTTACATCGACATATATTAACTTATCATGCTGATTTTTTTATACGTTACAATCAAATGAGCAAGTTCTTATTCATATAAGAAGATTATTGATGGATGCTATTTTGAACTATCATTCGAGACCTTAATTAATTAGTGTGACATATCTCATACATATTTTCTCAATTCTAACATCATACAACAGCAAGACAAAGTCAGTGTGATATGCATATAATTAGAAATCGAAAAATAAATCATTTCAGATATTAAAGTTAATGTTTATCAACATCAATACATTCTAATAGAATATTTGAAATTTCTTTAGAGAATTATTTTCTTTTTTAAAAGAAAATAATAAAAGTTATTAACATCACTTGGAATTCTATTTTTCTAATACAGATATACTTTGTTAAGAATTAGAATATTGTTTACTATTAATACTCAACTCATGAAGAAATACAGATGATCACATCATCACTTATACTTAAAAACTAGAAAGTTTCGATAAGCTTCAAAATTAAGTATATAATAATTCAAAATAGTGACCTGAGTTAGGATGAAGAATGCAAATCAAAAAAAGGAATAGTTTTTGAAAAATTCAACTAGACAATAATGAATACTGGCCGGATCCATTAACATTCAATTATCGACGATGGACGGAAGATGAGAAACAAAAACATCTATTAAATTCTTATTGTTGTGTACTCAAAAAGTGAGTACACTTCTAGAATCGGTCAGTGTGGCCGTCCGTCCGTCCGGCCGTATACACGATAACGTTTGAAAGAATAGTCCGATTGAGCTGAAATTTTATACACAATTCAGTCTCATATAGATCTGGGTCAAGTTCGAAGATGAGCCTAATTGGCTGGACCATTCCCGAGTTATTGAAAAAATACTGATATTTCCCTATGATTTTTCTATATTTTTTTGGGGGGAAAAATAATAAAATACCATTCTCGTAAACAATTTTTCTACCAGAGTCAAATAAAATTCCACTTATTATGAAGCATTCAATAGAGAATTGCACAAGCTACAAGATGGTGCTAAATTATAGGGATAAACGGGTTGCACACAAGATTGTCCCTGTATAATAGGGTGGGTAAATTATAGAAAACTCATATATCTTGATAATGTGTCACTGCGATATTTGTTTGTTTTTCATATTACTAATAACACTTTTTCTATAGTAGATAGAACTCATCAAGAGCTTGAAAATGATGTAAAATAATAGGGGGTATATATGCTGCATTCGATATGTCTTCGGTATCACACTTGTGAAAAACCATGAAAAAGCCATATACCTTAATAGTGTGTCTGTGTGGTATTCGTTTGTTCTCCGTAGAGTCAACGTTATTTTTATGTACGCGAAAAGCGAAGTTCACGATAGATTGATTTTGATCAATCTGTCTAAAAACATTTATTCTTGAGCGCATTAAGAAACTGTCCCTTAGGTTCTGCGGATGTCCTCTCTTTAGTGTACTCAAAAAGTGAATACATTACTAGAACCGATCAGTGTGTTCAGTCGGTCGTTTACACGATATCTTGCACAAGGAGAGTCAGATTTTGATGAAATTTTTTACACAGTTTAGACTCATAAAGATCTCGGTCGAGTTCGAAGTTGAGCCTAATTGGACGAGTCATTCCCAAGTTATTACAAAAATACTGATATTTCCCTATGATTTCCATATATACACTTTTTGCAGTACACATAACTCTCGGATACAATCCGAAGTTTCCACATTTATTTTTTACCATTCTCGAATGGCAATCGAAAATGTATCGGTCAATCATTTGCACTATTAGAAGCAAAAATTATTCTAGTAGTGTTACTTCAACGATTAAACTTTGAATTAATTAATAATCAACAGATTCTACCAGATATTAAATTAACAATGAAGCCAAAAAATGGTCTACTTACGAAAATAACACCGAAACTTGTTCTCAAAAACTAATTTGGTAAAAATTAAAAGTATGAAATTAGTTTACCTTATTGTACATAATCCGTTTATTATACATGTATCATCGTCGAGTTATTAGTTCTTTCTTTATCTACTTATTTATGTATGATGTATTATTACTCATTCTTTTTTTGTCATGATCCATCGACTTATGTTTAGATTATTTCTTTCTCTCTATCTCTTCTTCTTCTCATTTCATATAGAAAAAGATAGTCGATAGTTTATACTAATAATCTTATGCTTGTCTTTATCGCTCTAATACAAAATCAAACGGTTTTGAATAAGCTATCTGGAGAGATATTGTTATCTTAAGTGTGATAAACACTATGTTATTTTTTTACTAGAGATGGTTATAAGATTATGGTTTTCATTTTTATATTAATTTCATATGGGATCAATTATATGAGAGAGTTGATTTAGTACTATATATACATATGTACAAAACTAGTTTTTCGATATCCAATATAAATAGTTTAGTTGATAATTATTTATTAAATCTGATATTGAAGAATTCATTTTAAAAAATGGTTCAATTGAATGTCGCGTATGTACATCAAATGATGTTGGAGTTGCACACTATTCAATATGTTCATCTTATTTATGTGGAAAATTTAGTCAAGCTCATCAATATATGAAATATTTTAAACATATAATATCATGTTAGACATTTATCTAAAATATCAAATGATGAACAAAATTTAATATGAAAATGTTTATCATTACATTCAATATCACAACATGATGTTCATAAAAATCAATTTGAACAAGTTTTATCTGATGTTAAAGACGCAGAGTGTCCCTGAAAATTGTCATATATTAGATCAATAAGTTGAAAACAAATAAAGTTGTAATGTCGGAAAATGTTTTATCTCCATAGATTATTTTTGCAAACTTTCAATTATTTTATCTGAATTAGAAATACCATTTTTATCTTCAAAACTCAAAGGCATTTTTTGTGACAGCTTTTCAACATTATGTTTATTAAAAGTCTGCTATTTTAATCTCATTTCTCCGTTTATATTTTTAGCTTAGCTATTATAATGTATATTTTTAGTAGATGTCAAATCTTGTTTCACTAGTTTTTTTTCTATGATTTTCTGATTGAAATTACTTCCGAAGATCTAAAAAAAAATCTATTACAATAGAAGATAAACGAGATGGGATCATGTGATGACTTGACATCGACAGAAACAGCTTCGAGAAGAAGATGAAAAAAGAGATATCATGCTGAGTATCATATTATTTCTATCTGAGTGCTACTCTTTTCTTGTCGGATGATGTCGAAGTGAAACATGAATATAGCTCATCGTGCCAATAGCTTGATCGACAGTAACGAGTTTTTTTTCATATTAAATAACTGCACTGCTTCTGTCTCTAACATCTGCAATATGCTACTCTTGGTTTTTGTTCTTTTATCATAATATAATTTTTTAATGATATTATTTTATTTTAATTCTTACAAAAAAAAATATTGCGTTTTAAGCTGGAAGAAAAATTCTGCTTCACTGAAAAGCAATCAACAATAGTTCGTTGTTCACTAATTAATATGAAAAGGTACAGTATTGTATCTAATTAATATAAAAGTATAAATAACTATGAAAGAGCATTTGTGTTAAATATATGTTAATGACGTACATGTATTTCTTTTTCATTAGTGGATATTAAAACTTATAATTATATTAATTATCATGAACAGATACAGTATTCCTTTAACAAGGAAAACAAAAGTCATTTGGTAAATATACAACGATGAGTAAAGGTAATTTAACAAACGAATCTCTTACATTATATGTTATTCTCGATTCAATTGGCATTGGTCTTTGTGCAATAGCTATTTGTAAAACATTCATATTTATTTTATTCATTTTAATTCGTCGTCATGTAATACAATCAAAAGAAAAAATTGTTTTTCTTCTTAGTTTAAATATGTATACAAGTATATTTGTATTTGCTTTGTTTATTCTCGACATGTTTATCTCGATGATGAAAGGTCATATTAATCCAGATGTATCAGAAATGGATCAAGATACACAATGGTGTCGTATAAAAGTTTATTTATCTACAATTGCTCTTATATCTTCACTTTATTCCAATACATTTCAAGCACTTTATCGATTCTTTCGAATTATTTATTATACACGTCCTTCTTTTTATCAAAATATATATTTTTATAGTTTAGGTATACTTATCTTAGTATGTTTAAGCGCACTTCAACCATTACCAATACTTCTCATTGGTGAATATCAATATGAAGATTATCATTGTCAAATTAGTTTAATAAGTTGGCGTGGCATGACAATGGCAACTTTTCTTATTTGGCTTTTACCTGTTTCACTCACAATAGTCATATATGTTTGTACAGTACATTATATACGTCACAATTCTTTAACATTCACTGTACAACAACAAAAAAGAATCAAACGTGATATGACTGTTATAAGACGTATACTCTGGTTAGTCATTTTTATAGTTTTATTTGGAATGCCTGCGGTTTGTACTACTATTGTCTACTATTTATTTGGTTATGTCGGATGGTGGGCAAATCATTTAACGTGGTCAACATTCATATTATCTTTTACCGGTATGAGTGTTGTACAAACATGTTATTCGCCTCATCTTCGTGTTTTATGGTCAAAAAGACGACAACAAATTGTCCCAACAACGGCAATAACACTCAGAACTTTGAATTAAACAAAATTTTCTATTTTTTTAAAACAAGATCTTGAGGGTATTGGTGTGGGTGTATTCTGTCCATTCACACACCCTCAAGATGATATTTCTATTTTACTATTAAAGAAATAGATTTAATTTGATCTCTATAATAAAGTTATTCACTGATTTATTGATAAGAGAAACCATATGAATTAAAATCTATTAAAAAAACAAAACACTCTTCAAAGTTTTATTTTTCATTGTTTATTTCATAAAAAGGTAATGATTCGATTTACACAAAATACAAATACATCGAAAAATCAATAGTTATATTCTCTAACAATATTGATCATATTTAGTAATTTGTAGTTAACAAAATCAGATTATCACGTTAATATATTTATTAAAATATCTAGACAAGAAGATCTAATATTTTATTTTATTTTCATATTCTTACCTTCGATATAGTGTTCCGAACAATGTTTTGACTGGAAGGTACAGGTTCAATAACAAATGAAAGTTCGTCAAAAACGGGATTAGTAAGTATAGTTAATGAATGACTATCCACATCCTAATTTTGTCTTGGTATATTTCTTTATTAATTATTATTTTAATTACTGATATTGTACTATTATTAATTGATTTCAATGAATACATAAATAGTGATAACTAGCGTGCAAAAGTAGTCTTTATAGTTTTGCTATTACACGTGTAATTTTATTGTTTATCAAAGATGAATAAGAATGACACGTGTTTATCAAGAGAAACAATGATTGTTCTCTCAAGGACAAACGAGATATGAAAGTAAAATATATAACTTAATGTAAAACATTTGTTCTTATACTAAAAATGACTGCAACTCAATTTAAAACTATCAAAGAATATATTTTGGTCAAAGGTGATCGACGAACATATTGTAATATGTACAACAACAATCCTCATCTGCTTTTTGGTACATATCATATTTATTTAAATCCATCAGTTGGCCAATTCAATATAAACTGCGATCCGAATAAATCTGACTTTGATACAATAGTTATTCAAGATCAGTCTTCGAAAACAATATATTACGATATCAAATTAAATGAAAATGAACAAACATTAACCTTCGATCCTCCTGAAAGTAAATCTTATTTTGATCAATTGTATACTTTTGTTCATGAAAATAAACAAGACAATTAAAAAATAATGTAAATGCATGAAATTTGAGAATAAATTAATTGAAAGTAGATTTATTCGAATATTTATAAATAAATAATAAGTTTAATCTGTTAATGTTAGTTTTCCTTCACACTGTTTGATCCAATTAAAATGAAATGATTTGTGTATGTCGATGGATTGAGAGATAGAAATAATATTCAAGTTCATATATAATTGTATAAAACTCACAACAATCGTACATATAGTAGAGCTGTTTCTCTTATACTTTTTAGATCACAAAACATATGATTCACTATTTTAAAACACAAATTACCGCTACATATGTATCGGTAGAAAACATTTTATTAATTATTTAAAATAGCTGAGAATAAAGTAGCGAACACGATCGACAACTATTTTGGTATTGTAATCGAAAGAACAAGTGAATAAATAGTAACACAATTTTCATCATTATTGTTCTTGTACCATAATAAATAACATTAGATGTTAAACAATTGATCGCGTCACTCGTTTCAAATATTTCTTGACAAGAACAGTAAAGAATAATATGACTGTATCGAAGACGTAAAAAAGTAACAATCATGTGACCGCAAGCTAAATAAAAGAATGAAAAACACATCAAAATATCTTTTTTATATTGTAATAATCGAACTTACCGGATTAAACGTCAGCTCTTAACGACAGATAGAAATATAATACAAACGAAATAAAAATACTTATAACTCCATCAAATAATAAGACATAAGTCGTAAAACTGATAGATAGTTCGTCATGTGACTCCCTGTCAGTATCATGCTGAAATTAAAGATCCAGTATTTGATTAAAATGCTTTCGAAAGAGTGATTCTTATATAGAATATCAACAAATAGTACATACGATTGAACGAAAAATACATTGCCACTCGAAATCTTCATGTTTTTCCAATGAGTCATAGGAGAGAATTTGTGAACAACTAAACAAGAAATTTCGACATTTAATACATAACATGAGCAGTACATCTTAAAAAAACGGGCGCACAAGTCTGATCTTAGAAAGTTTCACATGCAGAGTGATATTATCTATTATCGATTGGTGTCTGTACAAAGTGTTGTTGACAAGAAGTACGTAATTGTGACTTCGATAGAAGGCACAGTGACGTAATGGACGAATGTATTTATTCGACAAGAGATGATGATTAATAATGCGTTTTTAATGATGAATTTCATTATTAGTCGACGCATTTTACATGACATATATTAAATAACGATCAGCAGGTAACGTTTTTTTTGCGTAAAAGAAGAGCAATCAGTTTATTATCTTTCCTTTTCATATCTTAGTCAGAATGACAAAAGACTAAAATCAACAAATGTTGTAAAAAAAATAAATATCTCTCGCGAATTCATATTGTCATAGAAGCATTATAAAACGAATCATACTTGAGAATTACGAACATTAGCTATTTGTTTACAGAGAAATTATAGTAGAAGAAAGTGAATCAAACATACGGTACGTCAATAAATTATATTTACTCTACAGGTCATTGAAAACTACGCAAATTTTAGTCTTATTTACTTTATTTTGATTCTTTTTATGACATATTATATAACAGTTTATTTTTATCAAACATATAACAGATGTTTTTTTTGTTATAGAACTCCCTTTTGCACTAGTTGGTATTTATTTGTTCGGTTTTTATATTATTTACGTTGTATGTACATTTCATTTACAAGTGTTTCGAAAGTATTCGCTTCGTTCACTCGCACTCATTTAATACATGAAATAAGAATGTTCGTTCTTTTTTTTGTTCTCTGAACAAACCATTTTCTCAGATCGGTTGCCTTTTTTTATCGTATACACCGCTTCTCCCTCACTCTCCACATATATGTACACAGGCAAGAGATTCGCTGACAAAGACGCTAACGTTTCTACCTACAAGTTTCTTATTTATTTTTCTCGTCAAAGTCGCCTTCAAAAAAAATCTGGTTGAGTTCGTTTCCTTTTCTTCTATTGTTTTTTTTCCTTTTTCGTACTTCTATATACGAGGAAAACAGGTAGAAACGTATAATTTACTTTTAAAATAAGAAATTTATCTAATTGAGCAGTCATGTACGCGAGTAGATTTCATATTACTATTTTATCCTTCTTGTTTTACTCGATAATCGACAATGAATTATTTATTTCTATTGATTATTATATATTCATATTTGATTGTTTAGATCAATGTATAGTATCATTCTTTCTTCATGGTCCATTTCACAATTGATTTTCTCTTTAATGATTATTACTGAATACTTTTATTAATTTCAAATTCGAAGTATTTATTATTTATAAAACAAAAATAATAATCACCATAAAACATGTATGGAAAGTACAGGTAACATATTGATATATAAATATTATGTATTAATCATAAACTATTTCCTAGATTCTTTTTAAATCATAAAATCTAATGAGGGACTGTTATGTATGACATCTATAAAACTTTTATAATTATATTTACTGTCGTGATCGAAGAAAGAGGAGGAAGTTGTTTGTCTTAAAATAAAAAGAACTCATAGGACAAAATAGAACTTATCAAGAGCAATAGTGTATTAGTCATTATAAACTGTTTCAATATGACATCCGTAACTTAAAATCATATCTTTGACTTTTTGTAATAAGACGTTACAAGTGTAAATATATTTGTCAAATAATTCAGTTCGTATTAAAAGAAGTTTTCAACAGTTTTTCATTGAGAATTTTTTTATCTAATCATATTTTCATTAATAATATCTTTGTTAAGATGAAAACTTAATTGATGATTAGAAATATTTTGGATCTATTATCTGTTAATTATTGTATTAACATTTATTATTTTCTAATTCTCATTATTTATTGAAATTAGATTTATTATTGACATATATTTGTTAAAACGAAAGACTACATATCGTTATTTATATTATAGATAAATTCTAACTTTTATTTATATTAAAACATTCTTTTTACACTTCTACAAACAAAATTAAACAATTCTTTAATTTATCATTGTTTTGTCAACTATCAATAAATGCCAAAAAAAAATAAAATGTTTAATGAAGATCATAATAATGAAAATGATTCATCATCATCATCATCCGATAGTAAGTACTATTATTTTTTATTTGATTTAATAATGAGTGAATTGTTTATAAAATTAAGTTTATCACAAATTATTTTCTATCTCTATAGATCACACACCACCAACTACGAATCGACAATTTGTCAAGAAAAAACGACAAGTAACACGTAAGATTCATCGTAGAAATAAATTCTTGTTTAAACTGATGATCAAATAGGTTCAACAGGCAATAGATTTAATACATCACAAAGTGATGATGTACAATATAAAACATTAGTATATTTTGCTCTAATCGATCTTGCATTGGTTGTGATTCAAGCATTGATTTATCCAAGTCGACTTATGGTAAACTATTTGTATCAAATATTCCATCGTAAGTTTCTACTATTTTTATGTTTAAAATACTTCTTGTTTTTATATTTAACACTATTTTCGTATTAATCAAGGTATAACAAGTGACGATAGCACTGTTCGTAAGTTATACTTTTAGTTTCAAAAACAAATTTCAACATTGTACTACTTTCAATTTTTTGTTATAGATCCCGGCTTAAATGAAACTCACGTCGAGTTTCCTGATATTACCTTAGGTAAGTGACTCTAAAGGCTATATACTTATGTCATCTTATTATTTCACATCTATTTGTTAGTAATGTTTCATTACTAATGAATCCGAAAAATTTAAAGATATATAAATATATGTCAGTTATATTCGAAACGTTACAAGACGGACATATTTACGAGAATATTTCATTAAGTTCGATTATCGTATAGTATACTTTCCTAATCGATGTATCTCATGCATATACATATCTAAGTGATACTTATATGTAAGAAACTACGCTTTTTTAGTTCCCGGACATTTCATGCTAAATTGTATAGGACTTCTGTTCTATCATATAAATAGTTAAAATGTTTATATTAATGAAAGTATAAGAATTTATACTGATACTATATTAATAATATCATTATTATAATCATATATACCTTTTTTTTAATATATTCTAATAAATAATATTTTATAAACATATTTAGAGAATGATGCTTCAGTTATAACGGACAATGATGATGATAATGAACAATGTATGTTAAATAATATTCTTCGAGAAAAGTTAATTGAACTATTCTTTTATGAAAAGGGAATACTAGTCGTCATGCTGCAATTCAACCAGATAAACAGATACAAAAATTTGATATGAATAGTGAAGAAAGTATGTGTGACTAGTTTTTTCTTAAAATAAACTCTTTTAACAGTTTATTAATGAACTTTGTTTAATATAGAATTTTTATTTAGATCAAATTTCTAGTTCCGGAATGGTTTCGACTGATAATAATACATTTATTTCAGCTAATAAGAAATTAAAAGGTTTGTTGAATTATTTTCATATTTTTTTTTAAATATAAATCACCGATTAATTAGATAGTATGTCATCGACTAAAGTGAATCCTCTCATCGATAATCCGAAAAATGATCAACCGGATGATATTGATAAAAAATTAATTTTCGAAGCAATATGTGAGATTTACCTTTGTGTTGATTAAATCAAATATGTTTCTGTTTATTATATAGGTTTATCATCAGATGATAAAGCAGAACCTGGAAAAGATTTTATTCCCAATGAATGTGCTTCAGAAGAATTTCCACAAGGTAGTTGTACAATGTGTACACCAGGTGACGAAGAGTCAAGTGAAGACAGCTGTTATTAAGAACAAATGCAACTATTTATATAAATTAAACAAAAAAACTTTCTCTTTTCAATTTTATTTTTCAATTTTTTTTCAAAGTCATCTTTTACGATCTTTTACTCAGTTTGATTATTTCCAGTTTTTTCTCAGATATGTTTCTCACTATTTTGTTATTCATCTATTTAACAGTCTCTTCGCTAAAGTAATAAGTAATACAATCAGTCATAATAAAAGTGAATTAAATTTAAAAAATTGAAATAACTTTTGATTGAATAATATTAATGAAGTTATTTCACTTGAATTCTGTACATGATTAATATATATCTTAGAAATTAAATTTCAAATAAAATTTGAGATAACAACAAATACTAACAAACTTTTAGTTTCTGTTTTCTAACCTTTTAAAAATGATTACATATACCTTCAACAAACTATTTGAATAATATCTTAGTAAATAAATACAGCAAAATATATCGGATAATTATTCAAAATTTTTGAACCATCATTAAAAATATATGAGATAATTTGTAACTAGTTGTGATATATTATGATTTTCAAGATATTTCGAAGAATAATTAAGAAAAAACGTTTTTTTAAATATAACACAATTAAAGAAATAACATGTATTGTTATTTATTCTCTTGGAATCTATTTTAAACATATTCTTATGTTATTATTTATTGACAAAGATACATTTTCTTCATTAGATTAAATTGATTTAATACATAGGATTTTGATTGAAAATCGGCGAAATATAATTGATTTTTATCGTTTAATGATAATTTCATTTATATATATGAAAATCTCGATAATCTTGAGATTTTTAATTACTCAAATGAAAAGTAAGTTTTTGTAGTTTTATTTTGAAAATTTAATTTTTAATGTTTTTGGAAATTTTCGATCATTCTTTTGATAATTATCAACGTTTAACACGACTTTTTATCAGATGTTACAATATATCTGAAGACTATTGATATTTTCAATCATTATTATTAAAAATAAGATTTTCATTACATTTACTCTACATTTAGTTTGTTTAGTTGGTATTGCATTAAATCTCATATTTTCATTATTATTTTTCATAGTTTATAAATACTAATAGATTTCTACGATTACTCATTTGAGTAATCTCAGTACTCATACTTGCAAGTCGTGATCGATTGATGACTAGTTCCAATAGGGGAAATAGTACCTATTCTTTGTTCTTTTCTTTATTTTTTCTTCTCGTCGAAGTCACGTAGAAAAAATGCCTGATTCAGTTCGTTCTCCTATTGTTCTTTTTTCTTTTATGTCCCTATATATACGACAAAAAACAAGCAAAAATATAGAGTTTCGTCAAGTGGTCGATCGCGCACACAAATGGATTTTACACCTCTGATTTCATATTACTATATTATCTTTCTTCTTTTTATTTATACAAGTCGATTTATGATAAACTATTTGTATCAAATATTCCATCGTAAGTTTTTACTATGTTTACGTTCGAAACATTTCTTGTTTTTTATTTAACACTATTTTCGTATTAATCAAGGTACAGCAAATGGCCATAGGCTTACTCGTAAGTTATATTTTTAGTTTCACAAAAAAATTTCAATATCCTAATACTTTTAATTTTCTGCTATAGATACAGAAGAAAATGAAACTTACGTCGTATTTCCTGATATTACTTTAGATAAGTATTTTAAAGGTTATATGTTGATGTTATTATTTTCTATCTATTTATTGGTAATGTTTCATTACTAAGGAATCTGAGAAAACTGAAGATATATAAATATATCTCAGTTATATTCAAAGCGTTACAAGACGAGCATATTTATGAGAAATTTTCATCAACTTCAATTATCGTATAGTATACTTTTCTAATCGATGTATCTCATGCATATACATATCTAAGTGATATTTGTATGCAAGAAACTACGTCTTTTCTTTATTTCTTGAATATTTTATGCTAAATTGTATAGAACTTCTGTTCTATCATAAATAGCTAAAATATTTATATTAATGAAAGTACAAGAATTTATACTAGTAAATCTTACTACAAATCTAAATTTTAACTTGTAAAAATTCAATGACTAGTAAGATGTAGTAATAGAGGTCACTATTTCTCGATTCTTATCTGTAGACGTTATTGAATTATATTCGAGAAAGGCTTCACTTTTCTCTTTCTTATATCTATAAAATCTATTTTTGTACACAAAGATATATTTTTCTATAGATTAAATCAAATATGTTTCTGTTTATTATACAGGTTTATTATTAAATGTTGAACCAGAAACTGGAAGAGATTTTATTTCCAATCTTGGTACTTTAGCAGACTTGCTAGAAATTGGTTATACAACCTGTTCATCGAGTTCGGAAGAGTCAAGTGAAGACAGCTGTTATTAAGAACAACTGGAATCGTTTATATTAATCAAACAAAAAAACTTTCTCTTTTCAAGTTTATCTGTAAAAGTTTTTTCCAAGTCATCTCTCACGAGATTTTAGTCATTTTCATTATTTAAAGTTTTTTCTCAGATATGTTTCTCATTCTCTATATCATTCATCTATTTGATAGTATTTTTTGTGAATAATAAGTAATAAAAAAAAGTGAACCAAATTTAAAAAATTGAAATAATTTTTGATTGAATAATAATAATATTTAAAAATATTAATCAAGCAGTTTCAGTTGAATTATATATATGATTAATATATATCTTAGAAATTAAATTTCAAATAAAATTTGTGACAACAGCAAATACTAAGAAACGTTTAGCTTATATTTCCTAATCTTTTTTAAAAATGGGTAAATATACCCAATCTTCATTTGAATATTGAGAATAAATAGGTATAGATCACGACACTTTTTTTACTTCACACTTAGTGTTATACTCACAATGAATTTCAAATATAAGAACATCATAACAACGATATATTAGACAGATTCGAAAGAGAAATGATTATAACCTATTTTAACTTTAAATTCAATACGAGAATAAGTTTTTTAAATGATTAACAATCTTCTATAGTAACCACATATATATCACATTTACTAGAGCAATTCAAACTTTTGACATGATCAATTCGATTTAAAATATTAAATAGAACTTCATAATAGAAGTATTTCTAAACCCTAAGAATTAATCTAAATATGATCATGAGACTTGCACTAGTCTTTTTTAAATCTATTTTATTCAACTGAAAAGTGAATTTTTATTCTAGTTTAACTCTTTTGTAAAATTATGATATTTAACAAATTCTTTTCTCTAATTATCTTTCTATGATAATATTTTCATTGTTCGATGATTAACGAATAGAGAGACAGTATTATGATGATGTTATTGATTTATTATTAACATTACAGTCGACTGTAATGTTTATAAGAAAAGATGAAAAATATTGTAAAAAAAGCAAGGAAAAGAAAAAAAAATGTTTAGTTTATATCGATGGTGTTGACTGTGTTGAGTGAATAAAATTTTTATTGTCGATTTTGACCAGTGACGGAATTGAAATATTGCCAGTTAGGTGGAAAGCTCATACCAGCGTATGGATTTTGACCACCACTCTGAACATTATCTGGAAGAAAATGAGAAAGAATAAACATTAGTAATCGTAGTTTTATTACAGTTGAATTCTTCATTAAATAAGTATTGTATATATTACAAAGAAAATCTTTTTTATATCTCTCTCTCAAATAAATAAATTCTTTAGTTTTAATAAACTACTCAATGATTGTTTTGAAAGTTTGTCCTCAAAATGAAATGTTAGATATTTTAATAAACTTTGTTTTGATCTCTAACAGAAAAATCAAGTTGATTTATCAGTATGAAAATGTAATATTTTAAAATGATTCTATGAAAATTTGTACTAATGACTTACTGTTTAATCCAGTAATAGCAGCTGGATTGTACCAATTGTTCTGTGTTAAATCTCGTTGTAAAGTATTTCCATATGGATTGTAAGTTTGGTTGCCCCACATGTTTGATTTGTATTGATAAATGAAATATATGAATGAATGTGAATGAGTGAACGAATAGAGAATATGAAATTTCTACCGCTTTTTATACGAAAGATTTTCTACACTTATTTTATTAGAATAGAAAGAAGAAGAAGAAAAAGAAGAAAAAAAAAGATAATTGATGAAGCATGACTTCAATTGACTTGATGTTCATTAAGCGAAGGTTAACTATTTTATTTTATTATTAAACAAAAGATATTTGCCCTTATGTTAGATTTTATTTCTGATGAAGGACGAAAAAAAGTCAAAGAAAACTGATGAAGCATACGATTAGGTCATATGAATATTCGTTGATATAATTTATCATTATCTAACCTTCTCAACATATTCGATTTCTTCTCTTTTCTATTCTTTCATTCGGTTCTTTTTTTTGTCCTTCGATTTTCTTTTTTTGAGTTGGTAATATTACAATAATATATAACCTCATTTTAGATTTCTTCATCCTTGATGATGATTTATAATCCACTTAAAATAATACATATTAAAATAAGACCAAATTACAATTGAAGATGCACAAATTTCCAAGTTATTATATTAAAAATGACGTTTTTATTTGGAGCTTTTGTATATCATTCAAGGGTAGTTATTTTCTCTCAATGAAAAATCATAATTGAATTTATAAAACATACCACAAAACTTTCATAATTTATATAAACTTTTTTCAGTTGATTTCGACTTTATTTTAGATCGACTTTGGTTATATATGTTTTTGAAAATAATTCAAATCAATTTCTGGCAATTCGCTAAATTTTTAATGAAATTTTCCAAGATTTCAAGTATTGATAGTTCTTAACTTGATATCAACGCTTGATTGAGTAAAAATAAGTAACCTTGTATGATATACAAAAACTACACATAATTGTGTTCTTGATCAGGACAAGACGTTATTCTTGAAACACAAGATAACTATCAATCTCAGATAAAGTCTAGAAAGAATAATTAAATGATATATTGACAAATTTTGTTAATTTAAAATTAATTAGATTCTGTAATCAAATAAAAATTCATATGTTTACATTAGAAATATTATTTGACAAAATTTTAATATAATTGAAGATAATCATGATTAATTAGAATAAATCAGTTACATTATCAATATTAAAACCAATTGAAACTTTAAAACAAATAGATAATTTTATTCAAATCATTCTTTGAAATATAATAATATGTAAGTATATTCAAAAGTTATATCAAATATTGTTTAAAGATTATGTAATCATTTCTTATTACTTATAGATTAATATTCATGAAATTTCTAATGAAATAATACTCAATCATATTCATTTACCAAATAATTATTTAACAAACATCAGAACAATATGAATTATTCTTTATTATAAACTAATGTTAAATACAAAAAATTATTTTTTCGATAAAGCGAAATCAATGAAGATTTTTTTAGTCTAATAAATGAAAGTTTACTGAAAGAATTATTTTTCAAATCGAAATAACTAAAAAATCTTTTTCTATCAATGATTCATATGTTAACTAAAACTATGAATTTTAAAAGAGAAATAGATAAACGTACATTTATCTATTCTCTTGTTCACTGAATGAACTTTAGTTTTATTTGATTTGTTCATATGGTCTAGTAGCCGCTTTATAACTTTGATTTTTTTATCTTACTATCGGACATGTTCGTTGTTTATATATCTTATCATTTTTCTTATTTCAATACAAATGATCAATAGTCTAACTTATCATTTCGACAAAATTCATAGTATTAACAATGCATATGTTTTTCGAAAGATCATATATATTTCTTATATGGAAAACAAGAGAAAGAGAAGTACGATGAGTTATGTAATAAACAAGTAGTTTCGATAATAATAAGTCTCATTTTTTTTTAAAAATAATTTTTCTTCTTTAGTCAGTTTGTATAAGACAAGAGCTGAAAAATAGTATTTTCTTTTCATATATTTTCAACTAATAATAAAACTTTATTTATTAAGAATAGAAAAAAAAGTAGTATATTACTGAAATGCAATCAAATGTAGGTATTGATAAATCAGATACATTGGATGGTCCTTACATGCCACTATCAACACCATTAACACAAACTCAAGATTTTGAAATTCAACCTACTCGCAAAATTCTCCTTCTTTTAAATGCCATTCTCATTGTAAGATCTTTTTCTTTTTCTAATATATCGTTCTATGAAATATTTAGGTAGTTGCTATAATTGATTTGATTGTGAGCATTCAAAAACTTACATTTGTAAATTTTCAAGGAATAAATGTTATAGATTGGCATGCTACTCAAACTTTTATTTGGCTTCTATTAAACGCTTTTGCAATTCTTGTTACTTATAAATATCATCAAACAGGTTTATTTGTGGTATGTTATTTGTTTTATTAAGCAACTCTGGTGAAGAAAAATCTAATAAATAAACATAAAATAATTGTTTATAGAATATGTTTCTCAATATGAAATATGTTGATAGTTTTTTTTTAAATTTCCTAGTTTGCATGGATGGGTGTCATTGGACTTGTTGTTACTGGTATTATAACTATAATTTTCTTATATCTTGTCGGTTGGTTATATACAACAGGTAGATTTCATACATATTTGACTGAAACATTAATGATAACAATGCTTTCTATTGTATATATTCTATTTTTTACTATAAAAGTATGAATTTTATTGTTTTAATTTAATTTTATAATTATATTTTATTTATTTATTTTGCAGATAATTATTGTTCAATTTGCTTTTAAATTAGCACGACTTATTCATATTAATAAACAATCGTTAACCAATCAATAATTCTAACTATTCATATTAACAAAAATAATTTAGATAAAAGACATTTTTCTTCTATGATTTCTTAGATTAAAAAATAAATAATTTCATATTGCTATGGCGAATAGATCCTTTTCGAAAGATGATCTTTGCAGAGAAATATTGCATATATTGGTATTCTATCGTAGAATATCTTATCATAAATAATATTGTGAAAAACTGTCATGTTTCCTTTTAAAAAATATGTTATATGTATTGTTTTCATATTACAATAACCATGAATCAAATTAATTGATCAGTAGAAAATACAAATAAAAACTGATTGATTTAAATAGACCGGAGTAGAAGATAAATCTATGATTAATACTAGCATCTACACTTTCTTTAGAAAACGTTATAAAATATTATACATTCTATTGGGATTCTATCGTATTATTGTTATGATGATGGCAAATTCATACGGCGATTCTTTTTCGATTAGATACATTATCGTTCCATGTTTGCTAAACGTATATCATAAATATAGATTGTTACGGTTGATTGAGAAGAGAAATAAAAATGTATATTTTTTTTCTTCAGTCACTTATTCTTTATTTATCCATGTCGCTGATTACTATTCGTGTATAATTATGTATAACTTCATTCTTGAATTGACAATCAATAGAAATATGAAAAGTTCAAAAGAGAGTTTCATCTCTTTTCATAACAGCAAATACAAATGGAATTCGTAGAATGATTAAAAATGCAAAACGAGCGAGTGTAAACATTATATTAAACGACAATGCAAGATGAATAAACACTTCTACCTAATTTCATTTATATTCATAAAAAACCAAGTGTATTCAAAGAAAATTATCTCAATAGAATCAAGAACGATTAATAATGAATTTTCAATTAATCAAAAATAAAACAAACAGTTCGAATCTTTTTTATTAATAGATTATTAATATATAAGAGATATTTTATATTTGAAAAATTCATTTCTATGTATATACGAAACAATTCATGAATGAAAGGTTTTAGCATCGTCAACAAAATCTATTATTAATTAAAATGATCTTATACATACTGAAATCTAATATATAGATAAAAATTTCTATAATTGATCATCTTCATCATAAAATGAGTAAAATAATCAAATAATAGTAATAGAATAAAAAAAAACTTTTTTTTTCTTCTTTGACAAATATTAATGTTTATGTAAATCAACGTAAAAATTGAATTTAATAGGTTGATTAGTTAATTCAACTGCTGCATTAATAAAAAGTGTATTAAATTCATATTTGTAACCTGAAGCTTCATGAATATGACCAAAACAATGAATTTTCGGTTGAATATTTTTTCGAATTTTTTTAAGTAAACTTTTCGAACCATTATGTCCATAAGAACCATGAACTGTATTATTACACTTTGAACAAGGTTCTATTGATGGAGATATATTCGGTTGATAAGTTAAATCTAAAATAAATTGTGGTGGAATATGTGTCATTAATATATCAATTTTGGAAGGAATTAGCGAGCATTTTGTTTCATTAGGTTCACTGAAAGACCATGGACAACCATAAATTGATATTCCTTCAATTTCAATTAATTCATTTTTTAAATATTTACAATTTGTTAAAATTTTTGTTTGAATATCATTCGAAGAATATGTACTAAAATTAATATCATGATTTCCACAAATAGCTAATTTATAACGATGTGGTAAATTTTCTAACCATTGATTAAAATCAATAATGGATTGTGGAATTTCATCTGTTGATAAATTTTGCCAATCATGTCGATTTGTAAAATCTCCACAATGTAAAAATATATCTCCATTAGGTATTGATAATCTATCATGATTATTATGAGTATCAGATACAACAACTATACTTAGCTTTTTATATCTTTCAGGATTTTCATCATAATCTGGAGGTTTTAAAATATCAAATAATTCAGTTGATGCCATTCGAGTATTTTATCTACGAATATATAAATTTGTTTTCAATAGTGAACAATAGGATTAATGAAAAGAAGTATTCAGCTGTTTCCAATTGCAAACATAAATAAAGCGATTCTTCACATTAGAATTCTTATATCTTATAGACCTAACAGCTTTACAGGTGAACACATGAAATAATTCGTCTCATTGTGTCTTTTTTAATCTTAGTTCCTTTGATTATGCAATTAGATAAAAACAAAAAAAATAAAATGTAAATTTGTCATGCTAAGCGTATGTTTTAGTTTTTATGATGAAATTACATAAAGAAAATATATGAATAATATTAATCATCTATCAAAATTTTTTATGTTTTTATTGGAAAGGTAAAATGTTAAAGATATTCAATCAAATATGTAGAAAACAGATTCGATTGAATATAATTATTAATAAATCTAAATAGATACGAAAAAGAACATACTTTAAGGTAGATTGTTGTTATAATTTAATTCATATATTAATAATTATGGTAAATGCAGCACGTAGATGTTATTAAATGATTTTTCAGAAAGAGGGCGTAACTGTGAGCTTGAATTTGACTAATAATTTCATATTTACTCTTTGGAATTGTTCTCAGTAAAGCTTTATGCTATTAATCAATATAATTAAGTTATACTTTCAAGTTTTGAAAACTGTTTAAAACAATCGTAAGTATTTACACAACTGATTTTAAGCTTTTTCTTATTGATTAATTCAATACGGATAGAAGATACATAGCATGAATGAATAAGCGAAGAATCGGAATTGATTCACTCCATAGAGTGATGGATTTAATTATTATTTCAAAAGATCAGTGAATAATTTTTACCTTTGATTGGTTGGCGTTATATTTTTCTAGTATTTTGATATATTTTGTAATAATTATTATTTATAAAATATTATAAACTTTTGTTTTAGACAGATTTTCAATGATATCTTCAACAAAAATCGATTTTTTAAATCATCTTTTATTAATAAAAAAGATTCGTTCTATAAACTCTTGAACGTATCAACAATAAGAAAGTTTATTGTTATTCGAGATATTCGATTTGTACTATAAGTAAAAATTGACGAGCTGTATCCACTGATATAGTTGGATTTCCTCTGACTAAAAACATTCGTTCGGACTATTGAATATGAGAACTGTATTTTAGATCAGTCACGTCCATTCCTATATATCTTAGAGATTGTGATGAATCTTTTTTATGATAATTCATAAAAGACGTACTGTATAATAACTTTAAAGATTGGCTCCCGTTAACAACCAACTTGTTGCAGTCATACATCTGAATAATAATATTTTTCTTCGAAGAAAGATCCAAAACTGAATTAATATAAGTGCGAAAACGTATGAAAGAAAAATTCTTGATCAAGTGGTAAAGAAAATAAAAGACCAAATGCTGTTGTGAATATATAGTTTAGCAAAAATGAATTTTGTTATTCTTTAGGTTCGTTGACAACATGAATATATTCCTTTAAAGATCCACCATTCTTCAGATGATGATGATTTTGATTAAATGTTCTCATTTTTATTTTCTAAATATGTATATAAATTAATTAAGTAATCAAAAAATTTATGTGCGTGTGAATCTCTTGTTTATTCATTCTTTTAATTTAACAAAAAAACCATAAAAAAAAGAAGAACAAATGTTTTCAGAAGTAGTTGAATTTTATGCATGTGGTGGTCGCAGTGAACGTTTTTTTCGTTTATGTCGTCTAAGGGCTGTGTTTATTATGCGACCCATTTTTTTGGTAAAGATTTTTTGATTAATGAGTTGACTAGAATATATAAAGAAAATCTATATAGATAAGAAAAGAACATTATTTATATTTACTTGTTAATACAATATTCAGGAATATTGAATGTATGGCGTTGTTCATACGAATAATTTATATTAATGCTGAAATTGTACAACGTTTGATCACTTGTTTGACTAAATATATTTGCTGAATCATTTTTTTTATATTGATTCATTGCGACACCAGTTTGATCTTTTGTAAATTGAATTATTTCTTCCTAAAAAATAAATTGTTTAATAAAATAGAAAACTAAATTTTTACCTGGTTTTTTATCTGTTACAATAACGTATCCCAATTTTACAAACGTATAGTGAGATAACAAAATGAAATAATCCAAGGTACCCAGGTCGAACAATCCGGCACGGAAATGGCCGGTTCTTGAGGGTGTGGGTGTGGGTGAAGAGAAGAGAAAAGTATTACCCATACTCACCCGTGTGTATAAGTCAGACTATAGAGTTGTGCCTTCATTAGTTTCTTCGGTAGTTAAACTGAGTCGATAAAATATCTCTTTGAACTACCGCATCAGTCAATCTGTTATACTAATAAAAATATTTTACTTACAAAATTTTCTCTGTGAAACTGTCTCCAGTGAAATTACAAAGGCATCCCAATACTATCAACAAATAAAAAAATATTATGCAGGATATTAGAGGCCATCTATATTTTAAAGTTTTAGAAATCAATACTTTTTTGTTAATTGTTTTTAAACTTGTATATTTATTTATAACTAAATAAAAGTGTTTAAAGCTATTTAAACATATTCATCTTTTTCAAATATTTCTCAATTACCTTTATCATTCAACTGATTCCTTTCTTTCTCGAGCAGAGGAAAATGAAGAATACTTTAAAAAAACTACAAATTCCAGTCCGCTATTCATTTATTCTACCTCTTATTTTTTAACAATATATTTGATATTTGCTTTTATATTGAAATATGAAGAAAATATTTACGTTTAGTCTCGTTCAGTGATCATTTGAAGATTCTAAAAACAATGTATACTTACAGTTGTGTGCATCAATTACATAATCGAGAGAAATTTTTTTAATTTATTTAAGGTATCAGCATCTTAGAAGATCTCTAATGATCAAGTTTTTTTTATAATATGAAGTATATTATTATACAAACAAGTTAACATAAAAATGCAATGCTTAGAGCCACGATAAAATTCATGTGATATATTCAGTTATTCCTATAATATGTTTGTGAGAATAAATATGACTCATCTATAATATTGTTGTATACTTTTTCATTTTCTTGTAAGATGAAATAATATAGGAACGTGGCATTAATGATATTATCGTACAAAAAACAAAATTTTTGATGTGAAAGTATTTTAGATGAAATGGAACGATTGTATACAGAAAAGAGTCGAAAACAATCTAATCTAAATAAAAAATATGTATGATTATAAATAAAAAAACAATTATAATATTAGATCATATCCTAAATTAAAATATATATTTGCATTTTCGTTTGAATTAAAATGTTACATGTTTAAAATAGAAAGAAAGAACGTTGAATTTTATTTCGGTTTCTTTTTTTTATTTTAATAACATACTATATACCTCGTTGCATCGATTGTTTGAAAATTTCCAAAAATATATTTTGAATGACCATCTTAAGATTAATTAGTTAATATTAATTTTAAAAAGAAACAAACAATCTAAAATCATTTATATAAAAATTATTTTCTTACTTGTATTAAATTTGTTGTTAATTCATTGATAAAATGGTAAATGAATTATACAAATAATGATATGAAATTTTAAAAGTAGCTATAAGCTTTATACCTGTTCGAACAGTATTTAAAAAAAAGATTTCTTTTACGTATTCCATTATGAGATTGATTTATACGACTACAGTAAAACCTCCCAAAATGAACACCTCTCTATAATGAACACCTCTGGTTTGAACACATTTTTTGGTCCCCCCGATCGATTTTTGCTGTAAATAGACCTCCGCAAGATGAACACCTCCAACCTCTGAACAATGAACGCTTTTTTTAGTCCCTTCTATAAAAGAAAACCTCTATATAATGAACATATAGTGATTAACTGTACGTTTTTCTATGAAACACAGAGCTGAAAAAATATGCTGTTCATATTAAGGAAATGATAAATCAGTTTTTGACGGTCAACTCATCATAACAAGCTCTGTCGTATGTATGGATCAAACAAAACAATGTGATTAATCGGCGATGAGTTAATCGATTCTATATGATAGGACAACATGCATTCTATCTTCGATTGTAAAATGAAACAGAGCACACACGTTAACTTTGTCTATAAAAATGCAGTTAATTAGTGAAAATGAAAATAACACTTCATATCGTACAATTACTGCGAAGTACAAAATCTCGATCGGTAGTACCTCAATTACCGACTTTTCTTAGAAAATATAAATAGATGTGAATAATAGACAAAAATGCTTTCTTTTACTAGTTTTTGTTTAAAACAAAATAGATCTTTAATATTTTAAAGATAAAAAAAATGTTTTTGTTTTGTTTTTCACTTGATAATTGAATAAATATGTGAAATAATTGAAAAGGATAGTGTTTTAGAATTAATAGTAATAGATTTTAATATCAAGATGCATAGCTATCATTTGTCCATACTAATATTATATGGTGTATATCTAAACCTTTATTTAATATGAAACCTCTGTAAGATGAACACCTCCTCTAATGAACACTTTTCAAGCGGTCCCATTAGTGTTCATCTTAGGGAGGTTTTACTGTATTTTAATTCAATCAAAGATCAGTAAACTTTGAAAATAATGTTGAATTAATTAAAATATATCTATCTATATTGACTTTCCTATTCTTGTGTGATTATTGAGGAGTGAAATATTTATCGAACTCTTATTATCTTGAATGATGCTGGCCTGTACAATATATCTTCAATACAAATGAAAAAAACTAAAATGAAAAAAAAGAGAGAGTGCAAAACTATTTCTTTTCTCTCTAAATTCTTTTACCCATTGCACTAAATACAAAACTATTCGAACACGACCTTAGGACATTTGAATTACTGCACATATAAAACTGCAAGAAAATGGTTATCTTCTAGAAAATGCATCTGGCTTTTTTGCGTCATTGCATTAAATCACATCTAGTTTGGACTTTGATCTGTTGGATATGGGGATTTTCAGATTAGAAATTACTTCGAGAAAGTAAAATTCCGACAATTTTGTAAAGATAACACTAGTTAAGATGTAAATTCTTCTACGAAACTGCATATTTCCCACTGACATTCATGTAGAAATTTTGCTTATACCATCTCTTGCTCACAATCTATATAAAGAAGCCACTTTTTCTTAATTCTCATTCACAGTTGTGCATCGACAAACATTATATTAACAAGTAAGTTTTTCTTATTGTATTTTATTCAAATAATTTTTTTTCTTTTCAAATCTAGTGAAATTGTTTAATTGTTCTTCATTTACAAAAAAAATGTCAATTGTAATCTTCACAACTATGTTAAACAATCAAATAGAATAATAACAGATAAGTTAATTAAATCTATACCGATGTTTTTGTATCATAATTTAAAGATTATTTTCATTATCTATTTATATTATTGATTACTTTCTAGATTTATTAGTTATCTTTCGATAAATATTAATTTTACTTTAAGCGTTACGTGTTTTTAATTATGGTCGATTCAATTCAATCATCGCAATCATCAGTGCTTCATGAAGAAATTGAAGCATATACACGTCAAATAATTATGAATTATTTACAAGAAAATTCAGTTTCTTTTCCAGATAAATATTTCACTCGAATGGTCAAAACTGGATTCCTGGATAAATTCATTACAATGATGGAGACTGAGTCTGTCAAACAAGATAAAATAAAAAAAATGTTAAACAAACATAACATTAGTATTCCAAGTGAATTTTATTCTGGAATGGTTCGAACTAATTTGTTGGAACATCTATTAAATGCGACTCATAATATTGATAGTGGTAGTGATCCCAACAAGAATGAGAGAACAAATACTCCAACAAATGATACAGACAAACGATCAACAGCTAAAAAACAAAAGAAAGTCCAGTAAGTTTAATTAAATCGATTCAATTTTATACTATTTTATTTTATAGTTTTCATCCTGATCTTGAATAATATTCATGCAAGTTAATTTTCAAGGATTTATTTATAACATAAGAAACTTTCGTTTTTCTTTTTCGATTTTATTTATATAATATTAATTTTCTTCATTTTGTTTTCATATACATAATTTCTATCATTTGTAGATAAATTCTTATCAAATACGGTCGGATACCGCCGTATTCAATCGATTCCGAAGTTCGGAATGATCGACCTGGGAATAATCAAATACACACAATATCAAATATTTCATCACCATCAACTGTACAAGAACAGAGATTAACAAGAATAGCAACAGAATATGTCGAAATTGATTCAACTTTACTATTAAAATCTTCGTCTGATTTAGTACAACGAAACTACTTACTATATAATCAAACTAGAAATAACCAACAATATTTTGTAGTTTGATTATATGCGGGTTAAATAAGTGGTACTCTATTGGGATATTTATTAGTTTGTCAATGTTTTACTCATCTTCTTATTTCAGAAACAGTAATTGCTGTAACAAAATTAAATGCATTAGGTCATGTTTTTAAATATCCACTGAATGTTCCAATGTTCATTGATTATTTTAATCAGCTATTAGCTTTCTTTTTTTTCTTATAATTGTTCTATTTAGTCACATCTATTGTGAGTAAAATACAATATACTATTCTTCAATTTAATTAATAATTAACATCTAATTATTTTTCTTCTTCAATTTTTAGATACAATCATAAACTCTAATAACAAACTTACAAAGATGATGATCAATTTCTTCATTCAAATATTTCTTATTATTTTATTAAGTATTTGTTCAACATATGAAATACCACTTGCTCATAATCAACAGTATTTATATAAACGTGCAATAACGTATGAAGAAGCGCAACAACTATTAAAAAAACCATTCCCTTGGGATGAAAAAATAAAAAACGAAAATCATCGAATTAACCAATGCCATGTTAATGCTGGTACCACTGATATACATGCATTACAAACAATTATCAATGACCAATGTACAATGATTAGTAATTTAATTAATAATTCTGTTAATGCCACCTTTGTTGCTAATGCAATTTATAATTATCATTCTAAAACAGGTCCAATATTAACAAGTTGGCGTGACTTAATTGATTTATTTTTTATAACTTTTTTTGTCAGCTATCTTGTCTATTATCGTATATGTAGCATTGGGTTTCATCCATGTGATAAAATTATGGCATTTTGTTGTAAACCAGTTATTCTTCGAATTCAAAATCAGCAACAACAACAAAAAGAACAAGAACCAACAACAACGACAATAATCAATGAAAATCCTGTTCCTAAAAAAGCACAACATCGTCAACTATCATCGTCAGTCGCATTTGTCGAAGATGATTATTTTGTTCGATTTAATAATGGATATATATCTGAATAAGATACTCCTCAACAAATTTATGAATTAATATAGAACTCATCAAAATTTTGCTTTATATTTCTTGCAATGCATGTGATTCATTTTAATATAATATTAAATATTCATTTTCTCCTGAAATTTTAGATAATTTTTAATCAATATGGAGTCGATTTCTTGTTCGAGATCAAGAAAATGGCTATAAATAAATTAGTGTCGGTAAAAAAGTATATAGCTGCTATTATTTGATTTATTACTGCTTCAACAAAAACAACATCAATAACAAATGAATCAAAATGAACATTTACATAGGCAGCAAGAAAGTTTATCGTTAACAAAAACTGATTATAAATTATTTCAGCAAAATAATAGATATTTTTATCATCAAACATTAGTTTTATTGTAATAAATTTTGTATGAATATATATTTATTAATTTAATAAATTCTCTAGCAATAGAAACCATAATTCATACGTAGAAAAAAAAGCATACTTTGCATTTTTTTTCTCATTATTTTCTTTTATCAATGTATATATTATATTTTTGCCTCTATCAAGAAAAAAACGTACAAGTATACAATAGAGTAAACAAAAAATGTGAAGTGTCTGCAAAAAAAACTTTCTTATATAACTGTTTAGGAAAAACTTGCGTATTATGAAATATAATATTTACTATTAAATTTTTATTTAATCTAATACTTCATGTAGATATAAATATAATCTTTTTTTAATATCTTTGGTGTGCAACTGTCACTTTGATAATTACATTTATATTAAAAGTAATATATATTGAAGAAAATACAATGTGTCAGATAACTTTTACTTTTTTCTTCAAATTAGCTGAATTTTCAGATACTATTTTTAATCGTTCTTTTAGTACGTACTGAGAGTTTTGTTATTCATCGTCCTCATCCGTGCAAATAGTGCGGTTGACATTACAAAAAGAAGAAAAGGACGTATTTTTTTCTCTTCATTATAAATACTTTAACTCATCGTCGTTTTTATTTCCAGTTATTTTTCTGCATTAAAAATAAATATATATATATATATAAATCAGTCAATAGAAACATAATACTCAGTACAATTACATGATGAATTTAACTGCTACTAGTTATCCATTTTATTCATATGTTCCATCACGTATTAGCGCAAGTATTTTTGCAATTATCGTATTTATTTCATTAATTTCATGGTTTATTCAATCATTACATGTTAAATGTCGTCCACGTAGTATATTTGCATTTGTACTTATATCACATTTAACAACATTTATTGAACTTGTTTTACGTGCTGCACTCGATGTGAATAGGTTAAATACAACAACATTATATAAAGTAACAGCACCATTAATAAGTGTACCTCCTCGACTATTACTCTTTGCTAATTATCATTGTTTAGTTGAATTACGAGGAAAAAAACCACATCGTGTATTTGATCGGGTCATTGATATCGTTGTACCTATTGGAGGAATAACAGTTGATATTCTTCTTGCTATTGCTAATGAACTTTCATTTAAATCGAATCATCTTTATCGTAGTTTTTATCTTCGACAAGCTTCAGCTGGATTTCTTCTGTGTCTTACTATACTTTTCTATGTTGTTTGGTATTTTTCAGTATCTCATGCTCGCCGTCAATATGTTTTACCATTATTATCTGTATCAAGTATATGTGTATTCATCGAAGCTATTTACATACTAGCAATGTCAATACCTTCTCTTTTCTTTCAACTTACTCAAAGTGAATTATGGTTTTATGCAGGTCATTTAATACCCATTGTTCTTGCACTTATTAGTTGGTCAATTTTTCATCCATCACGATTATTACCTCCACCGGAAACAGCTGTTCCTCACAATGAAGCTGGCGAAGAATTACTTCCACCACCTCAAACGATTTAATATTATATATACATACATATATATTTAGTATTTTGACAGAACATATTTTTAAATTTTCTTTATGTCTTTAAATCTAGTTAATATTGTAAAATAATAAAGTATTAATTCATATTCTTTGTCAATACATGAAACTCGAATATGAATTAGAGAAAAATCAATCTTTTTATTTAGTAGGTGAAATTTTAAATGTTTTTTTTTATAAAGAAATATATCACTAATAAAATTTTCTTTAATATTACGTGATTTTATTCCAAATAAGAATGATTTTATTGAATGATATTGTTCGAGGACATATTATTTTAATATCGTATTCTATCCAATAAACATGTGCTTTCTATGTTGATGCAAGAAAAATACAATGCACATATTTACTTGCTCTTTCTTTTTTTCTTTCTTTCCTCTTCGCTCTTCGAGCAGAAGTGAGCGAGTAAGGACATTTTTGAGTACAAATACTTCAAGGATTTTATCCACGTGTTTTCTAGTAACATTTTATTTAACTAGCAAAATTATTTTACTCATTCTTTTTTGGTTTCCTTCATAGTTCTTCAAATGTCTACTGTGCTATTGTTCTGCTTAGTCAAGTCGACAATGTCTTTGTTGATAATTTGACGAATATAGTTATTAATATATTCTACAACGATCTTTCAAAGAATGAAATGTAAAATGGATAATAAAAGAGAAAACCTTTCTGATATACTTTGTTTTTTATCTTCAGTATACTTCGTATATTATTGAATATATTTACAGTTTGATAAAATTCTATTTTTAACTTGAAGACCGTTAAAAACCTTGCCTTTTATACTCAGTTACACATTTGTACCAACTCGATTATCTTTTATTAAATATGTAATTCAATATGATTCTGAATAAGCATTATTTTTGAAAGCAGTACAAAGACACTGGATCAATATTGAAAAGTTTATTTTTTGAATAAAATCTTTGTCCTTGAATCTCATCGAACATCGTAAGCTAAAGAAAAACGGAAGTGAAAATTTCACCTTTATTTGTCAAATGAAGTTAAGTTTAATAAGTTTAGAAGAGAAGAAATATGGGTGGGTATGCGTATTGTCTTGTCTCTTATCGTTACACCCACACTCATAAGGAAAGGAATAGTCAGCGCATAAATGACTGTCACTTATTTTTGTATAACGGAGGATCCTAAATCTCTTGAAATATGTTGTCTGTAGTCCGTGAACCTTGAGCTGAACTTGTGATAGAAATATCATTAGTTAATACAAGTGTTCCATCAGTATTCCAGATATTTTCATTAGCAAATTGAACTGTATAACGTACATCACTTTGCAAATATGTATTACTATCAGGTAAAGTTAAAAGTAATTGCCAAACTCCTTGAATGATATTCGCTGGAATACGAAGTTTTCGATCAATACTTGTACTATTAACTTCAGGTGGCCAGCTTCGAGGATCGACAGTAAGAATCGTTTGATATCTAATACGTGCACTACCTGTTTTGCCATTATCAAGGATGAGAATAACAGGTCTAGTTAAATGCATTGCTGAAAAGCCAGTATTTTGTACTTTGAGAGAAAAAGCTAAAAGTCCGCCGGGTGCAACTTCTTTTGAATAAGAAAGAGTTTTTAATTCAAAACGATAGCCAAGTTTTCGTGTAAAATCGTCTTTCACTGAAGTACCCCATGCATTATAAATGGGTGTGTAATAATCGCGATGAAGATATGTCATATGTTGTTGTTTGGATTCTAACATGGCATTTTGAGCATTATTGTATTTACTATTTGGTGTACCAAATGATTCACCACCAAAAAAAGCATAACGAGTCATTTGATTAATATAAGCGAGTTCTTTAGCTCGTGACCATCCGTATGAAAAGGTGCCTGCATCATCGCTGCTGGCAAGGTAAGCATCATTGTGATAACCGGTACGTGCTTTTGCCGTGTTGTTAGAAGCTTCGATAGGTTCAATAGGTTTATCACTACTAAATATTTGACGAATATAATATGGTGTACGAACAAGTACTGAACGTGTAATTGGTAATGCATCCATGTATGTAGCATGAACTTGTATCAGTGCAGTGGTCTTAATGGGATAATAGAATTGTGTATTAGTAGTACTAAAATATGATGAATGCATTTCGCCCCATGGTCCAAACATACCCATCTCAACAGCGATAATAATATCTTCATATTCATAATAAATTGGTTTCATATCCATAATATGAGTTTTAACAGTTTCAATGTTTTTTGGTTCTGGAGCAAGAACAGAATCCCAAGCATAGGCTGATCGCATTATAACTTTTAATCCTTGTTGACGACAACTATTAAGTGCTGTTCGAATTTCATTGAGTTTCGTCTGTCCAATATGTGAACTATTCTTATAAGCTGAGATATCGATTTTTATAAGAACTAATGATAATTTTTCGGCACTATTTCTTAGAGAATTAATTCCATAGAGATCATTAGAAAATCGATGTGTAATCCATCCTCGTTCAGGATTAGCAAAGAGCGCTTGACTCGATACAAAGGTTTTCGTAACACTAACAGGTTCAATCGCCAATGTATTTTCCCACGAACTTATTAAAAATCCGAATAACAAAATAGTCACCTGTTTGTTCTTCATAATATCTTACGGGTTGATTCTAAAAGAGATAACATTGTAGAGTTATATTTCTATAATATATGACAAAAAAACTATCTTGAGGATGTGAGTGTATTTGAATATTCTCTTCACTTACACTCTTACCTTCAAGAAAGAAAGCGCTTCGGAACTGAAGACATTAGCGTTCGTAGTTGATTCTCTCTAGTATTCTAACTGGTTTGAATAGAAACAGAAACTTTAAGAATCTTTGTTGATTGTAAGACCCTTTTAGAATAAAAATAAATCCAATTGAAAGAAAAAGTAGAAGTGAAAAAGTATTAAAAGCAAACAAAGAGTGGCACGAAATAATATATATTTGTCGCTTGCACGATTCTTTTGGATATTTTTTCTTATTTTTCATGACATAAAACAGGTAAAAACTCTTTATTACCAAGACGTTTTTTTTATGTTATGTTTTTGAAACTAAGCATTTTTGTTTCTCTCAAGTATCGATGTCTCATGTACAAATACAGATGACACATGTATACGTTGTCAACACATCTACAAAATAAATGAAAGTAAAAACAAGAAAAAAAAACCCATAGAATGAACTAAGTTGACTAATCAAGAAGCTTTTGTATTTGTTTTGAAAGAAATCGAATTCTAGAGGAAATATTTCGATTTTCCATTTCTTCGATAACACTATGAATTTATATGATATTTATCTCAGGCTTCCTTAACATAATTTTAATCATTTAAATTCAAAATCGAAAGAATTTCAATAAACCAATATGAATGAGAATGAAGTGATTAAATATATATTTTAGGTGAATGCATAGAGTGTGTGTGTGTTGGTATGTAGGCAATAATATAGATTGAAATTATCTGAAACAATTATTTTATATCTAATTAGCTTGCTTGCTTTAGATAATTTTGTTGACCGTGAAAAATACATAAGTCATATATATAATATACTACAACTCTATGAACAAAATAATACTAATATGCTTGAACTGAGTGAGGATTTATTGTCACTGAAAGAACAAATTGCAGTAATAAAAACTGAAAAAGACATATGTTGTTTACATAAAAAGTAATTAACAATTATTGATTAAACTAATAGATTTCTATTTGGCATAGAATGAATTCTTCATCTAGTCCTCTGATTGTTTCTTATAATGGTTAGTCAAATTAGCTTAGTTTTTTCTAATTTTACACCAGGTGATTGATCAAAGGAGACGAACAACTTTTCTATCGGGATCAACTCAATGAACACTGATTGCAAAACTTTTAGAAGTCTGTAAAGTTTTCTTCAACAGAAATTATTGAAGTTATCAGAATTATCCTGTTAAACTGTATATATAAAGAGATTGCATTCGCGTTCATTCGCATATAGAACAAAAAAAGAGAAACAATGTTATTTTTCCAGTTGTTCATTCGTTGTCAGTTGTGATCGTAGACGACGTCGGTTAAATAGATAAAATGAGCATACCTATATAAATACTGTAATATTTCTAAAGAATAAGAATAGATAAATGAAAAAAAATATGGAACATTTATCGACTGAATTAAATGATTTACCTGATGAAATTCTTATGATTATTTTGAAAAAATTGTTCAATACCGAAGTACTCTATTCTTTAATAGATGTTAATAAACGATTCAATACAATTGTACGTGATCCAATTTTCACAAATAAGTTAACATTGATGAGATGCTTGTCAAATAATCGCAACTATCCATTACCTGATCCAATACTTGATCGATTTTGTTTTCAAATCTTACCCTCAATTCGTCATAAAATCAAATGGCTTAATCTTGAATCATCATCTATGAAACGTATTCTTAATGTTACAAATTATCCGAATTTATATGGACTTGGTCTATATGATCTTGAGATAGAAACAGCTCGATCTCTTATTGGTAAGATATTTTCTTTAATTCTTTCAATAGTTAATTATTGAAAAATATATACAAATAAATTTAGATTATTGTGACAAACATAAATTCGAGAAAAATTCTACAATTAAAATATTATTTGAATAAAATCGTAGAATAAACTAAATGAGAAAATATAGTTTATTAGAAAACTTCAAAGGAAAGATTACACATGTACATTACAGAATTATTCAAAAGAATAAATCCATCGATTTAATGATCAAGATAAAATTCAATATTATTATTTGTTGACTTTCTATTTCTTTTTTTTATTTAGATGAATTTTGTTTAACTTCTATAAATAAAAATCAAATCTTATCGCTAATCATCGATGTTACAAAATATAAAAATGGAAAAAATTTACGACGAGATATGACTGAATGTATATTCATGCATATTCTTAATATATTCTCCAATTTAGAATATTTAAATTTTTGTCCATCTTCAATGTGGTATCAAGGATTATTACTTAACAATCCATCTCCAACTATAAATTCTTCAACTCTCTTAGAATTGCATATCAGTTTGGCATCTCTCACCGACTGTCTTTATATACTTGATGGACGTTTCAATAAACTTCACACGCTTTATGTTGATATTGATTTCATTTCTTCTTTGCGTTTAACAAACAATAATCAGGTAAATTATTTCAACTAATATTGAAATATTTTTAAACAAATATATTATATGATTTTTTTTATAGGAAAAACTATCTAATTTAAGATGTTTTTCGTTATGCTGTGGAATGTCAACAGATTATTATGATGAATTAATTGTACCATTTCTACAACGAATGTCGAATTTAGAAAAACTCTCTTTAAATCTTATTGTTTGTGCCAAAAGTAAATTTGTTGATGGAATTGAATTGAAACAGAATATTATTAATCATATGGCACGATTAAAGAGACTCGAATTTTGTATTTCCTCAAGTATTTCTCTTCGTAATCAAATTTATTTACAATCAAAACAAGATATTCAAGATACATTCAAAGATTTTAAAGATGATGAAATTATTTCTTATGTTGATTATTTTCAAGAAAAATATACTCGTTGTCATATCTATTTATATCCTGAACAATTAAAATATTATGGTACTTTAACAAATAATTTTCCAGGTGGTTTATTTACATGTGTTCGTACACTAATATTAGATGATGAACATCCTTTTCAACATGAATTTTTGTTCGACTTCAAAAATCATTTCCATTTATTAAAAAAATTTCGTTAGAAAATTCTAAACCACAAAATAACAAATTATGCAGAGAATCACAGAATGGCATTCAAGATTTTGCAATTATTAACTATCCTTATCTTACTACTCTTACACTTTACGGTGCTCATGATGATTATATCGAAGAATTTCTAGTTGATACGAAAATATGTTTACCGAATAATCTTCTTCATATTAACATTTATTATGAACAACTAAAAAGAGTAACACATAACTTTACAAGAGATGCAACACGAAACAATTGTGCAAAACTAAATTCTTTATTTCTCAATGGTCGTCGATATCCTAAACATGCAAAAAACTATTTTCCAAATGTACCAAAATATTGATTATTATCAATGCTTTTCGAAAATAAATTCTTTTATGTAGAATGAAAATATTAAAATAGAAAGAAAATTTATTTGAAATTAGATTCAACAGACTCACATCTATGCATGTAAATTAATCGTCTAGTTTTTTAATACGTAGACCATTTTAAAACCAGTAAATCAATATAAAGATTTAAATAAGTAGAATAAAGTATTTATATTCAAGATTGTGTAATATAGATATTTATTTCATTATTTCATCGGCGATATGTTAGTAAATACTGTTTTATTATATAATAAGCTTGTCTTTTCGAAGAATAAAGAGAAAACCTTTCTGATATACTTTGTTTTTTATCTTTAGTATACTTCGTCAATTATCTATTTTTCTCTTATCAACGAGTCTTCTCATGAAAAGAAACACAAAAATACGAAATGACATTCAAATATTAAAAAAAGTTTTGTATGTGCCTATATTTGTAAAGACTAAATCGGTGTTGTTTATTTTTAAAATTAATAATTCTTTTCTATTAATTTATAAATGAGTGATTCACTTATGCTAAGTTATCGCATTGCAACAACGTTAGATTGTGATTTATTAGTTCTGTTTATTAATTCATCGTATCGTGGTGAAATAGCACGTCATGGTTGGACAAATGAAAATGAATTAGTTGATGGACCAAGAACAAATGAAATTGCTTTAAATACAATTCTTAATAATAATGATTCAATAATATTAATGTTTTTTAATGAAATTGATAAAATGTTAATTGGATGTGTTCATTTACAATTTAAATCAGAAATAAAAACGACATATATAGGAATGTTAGCTGTACATCCAAATTTACAAGGAAAAGGATATGGAAAAATGATTTTATCATTAGCAGAAAATTATGCAATAAAAAAATGGAATGTTGATTATATTGAAATGATAGTTGTTCTTCAAAGAACGGAATTAATTGATTATTATAATCGACGTGGTTATATTGATACGGGTGATCGGCAACCATTTCCACAATCTCAATTTGGACTTCCAAAACGAAATGATTTACAATTTTGTACGCTACGAAAATCTGTCAAAATCAATCAAGAAAAACAATAAATAGAAATATCAACTTCAAATTTTCATTATTTTAGAGATGTTGTTTAGTCTATCTTGATTTATATATATTCAATTTTGTCTTTTCTCAATAAATAAATTCTATTGAACTCATTGATTTTTCATTGATATTTATGTTTGATTTAAGATCATCTAATGAAATCTTGTTTTTTTTATTTCAAAATAATGACATATAGATTGAATAGTAAAAACAAAAAAACATTCAAATTAAAATGAAATTAATTGTTTTTCATTGAATAATGGTTAATTTAAGGATATTAACAGCGATAAGAAGAATTATTAATAAACCAAGAGAATTGGAAAGAACATGACTCTTATTACATGCATCTCCTGTACAACAATTTTGAAAATAGCCAGTACCATCATTAACAACATTGTATTCATAACATTTTTCAGTCCGATAGTAATCACGAGATACATACTGTATTTTACCGCCTATCATTCCAGTTGTTTTCTATAATAAAACAAAAAGAAAACCTTTGTTTTATTTAAATACAATGAAGAGAAACTTCTAATATTTACCGAACACGAATAACCAGATGCACCGTTTTCTACAACTTGAAGGTTAGATGGCTTTTCACAATTAGAACATATATAACATCTGAGACCAATGACCATCGATTGTGTAGCTTAAATAGAAAGCATTTATCTTATTTACTAGTTTAATTCTTATTCCATTAATAGTGAACAAACCTAAGAAAATAATCAAACTGAAAGTGAAAGAATGCAGGAATACAACCATTTTGAAAAAGAAATTTATCCAATTTGATGGTATGTATTGATTTTGTATGTTATAATATACCACCTCTACAACGAGTTTGTTTTTCTTCTTCGTTCTTTTTCTTCTCACATCGATATTAAATTAAAGTCAGTAAATACATAAAATCATTTCGTTAACTTATCAAAGATAATTGTTTTAATTAAAATCAAGAGAAATGTTTTCTAATAAAAATATTTTTGAATCTTCTATACTTTTATTATTAAAATTTGAATGTCGATCATTATTTCATGGATTTGAAGAATATGTAAAAAGAATGGAATAATATCAAATATTGACTTCGTATATTGATCTTTGTCAATTAAAATAGAAAATCGAATAACAACAAAAATCATCCTACACTACATCAATAAAAGACTGACAAATAGATTGAAATAAATATGGTTGATCTACTTTTCAGAAAAATCTTATTTCTCAATCAGTTTTTTCCTTTTTAATAACTATTCTTCTAGTGTACGAGTGTGTAGATCATATATTATTCGTTGTTCACATCCTCTTGCTCAAAATGTTTTTTTCATAAAAAAACAAATATCTGATATTAATGAAATGCCTGTCCACATATGATGAACAGAATCGAGCGGACGGATTCTGTTGAATTTCACCACATTGAGAACAAAAAGTAAGAGATGAATTAGAATATGGTGGAGGAGTATCATTATTTTGTTGTTCAATAAGATGTGATAATTCATTGATATGATTATTAGAACGAGAATTAGTTTTAATCACAATCTAAAATAAAACAAAAATAATTAAAATCAATTGATCATTTTTCTGAAATTATAATTATATTTACGCAGTAATTGGGTTGACTATTATCTCCATATCCGCGACGACAAAAATTCGAAACTTCTAATGTCCAATGACATACTGTTGGTGATCTTGACGAGTATTTCTTAGATTCTTGAGCAACTGCCTGTCGTATTTGTTCTATTCGTCGCAACTTTATTGGAAGGAACAGTAAGACTAATTTTCTCGATTGATTCTCCTTTGCAACATCCCGCTAGAGAAAAAAAAACAACAATATGGATTTTAACAATTTGAAAAAGATATAATTTACTTCGAATCATTGGAACATAAATAGAATTCGGAATATGTTTTGTATACTCAACAAAGAGTAACATTCATGTATATTTTTATCTTGTTCTCATAGAACTTAAATCAACAAAACAACACGCAATATACGACGTTTTCTTTATGCGTCACATTTTTCTCTAGATAAAAAATTATAAATAAAAGTCTGTTGACGCATTCTTCTACTAATGATTACAAATAAAGGTCCTAGTAAAAGCCTTAACTGGTGTAATATCAATTAATACTTCTCTCAATTCGTGTTTTATGCGATGCCTTACACTAACTGTTACAAGGATGAATATAAATGTACAACTATCAATACTGTGCGGTTATTCCAGTTATAAAGCTACAATTTAAAAAATCGTTTAAATCAAATTAAAAGATCTTTATAGACATTTGTTTTTTCATGTTGCCTTAAAAAGAAATCTAGTGGTCATCAAATGTGTCGTTTGACTATCAACGGACTGTGCTCGAAGGATAGTCCAGTTTTTGTGCAATAAAATCAGAATTGTAATCTTACATAATGACGTATAATTTCACAATTTTTCAGTGGGTCACCACCCTTTAATTTTGATGGGAATACAAATTTATATATTTACATCAATAGGTCAAGTCAGTAACACTATTATAGTGTTTTGTCAGATAATTCCATTTATTCTATCTTTGGTCGATACATAACATCTGTACGAACTGTATATTTTCGTCCTTCGATTAATATTGAACCTTCATGAAAAAGACGATGCTCAAATACAAGTACCATTCCTGTACGAGGTACACATCGAACATTTTTATTTGAATCCGTGCTGTGAATAAAAGTAGTTGCGCCACCCTGATATCCTTCATTTAAATAGAGTTGAATAGTCTATGAACAGAAAAATTAATAATAAAAATAAATTTTCATTTTTAATAGTTACAAGAAAACTTTGTTCACCTGATCCATTAGAACGATGATATTCACCATCTATAAATTGATGAAATAAATAAAAGAGAAAAACTATTATTGATACGTACCCATATGTGCCGCAAAAAATTGTCCAGGATCATAGCGAAGAAATCGTAGACGTTCATTAAGACCAACTAACTCATAATTTTTCCATGTTTTTGGTAAAAATGATTCGATTCGTTGAAAAAGAATTTCTGCCATTTGCACATCATCAATTATACAGCGATCACTATTTCGAAAATCTGTCATCAATTCTGAAAATCCATAACCATTCACAGTGGCTGCACTATAACTCCGTTGCTCACTCAATTCAATCCATTGTTGACATTCATCTGGTGTAAGAACATTAAATATAAGAAAAGCTAATTTACCTTCATCTTCACGATTTGGTAAATTTACATCACGCTTTACAATTTTTCCACTGAAAGTTGTCATTTCACTATTGCTATAGTTGATGTTATATAGTTAAAAATAAATAAAAAGAATGAAAAAAAAAAACAAGTGAAGTCTGATATTTAAATAGAATGAAAAAGTTACACGTAATGACTCATCTATTACAATACTTATGTAAATAATCGAAAAATTGTGACACAACTATTCATATTTAGTCAACAAAGAAGAAACTTTTTGTACAATTGATTGTAATGTGTGAGTGTGTCGATGTGGGTATGGGTTAGTTTTTTTCATCATCACAGTATTACCTAGACATCCATAGCTTCTACTTTCTAGCTACACTCTTTCACAAAAAAGAGAATACTATTGACGTACCCGTTCTCAGGTTTTGTCTGGCTATGAAACAACACAAAAACTAGAATCAATTGTTAAAGAACAAACATCGACCATAAATCTTTGAAACCCTTTTTTTGAATATATTCTACTTGAAATTTAGTGCATACATCTGTTGCGAGCTTGGGATTTTATTCAATTGGTTGTTTATAGTGGCTCTTGGTATGATATCAGTCACGATTTATGGAAGGACGAGTATAAATTTCTATTCTTATACACTTCAACATTCCTAGTTTTATAGATTGTGTTCTAAATGAACGTCTTTGTACAGATAAAAACAGTGTATTAATATATATCATCTAAACCCACCCTATGAAAGTCACTTTTGATTTTAAATGAATGTATTTATTCTAAATAGACTACAATATTTATTATTGAGACGTTCTCAAATAAAGTTTTTAGAATTAGTTGTTGTTCTAAATTAATGAAGTGATTAAAATGATATATTGGCAACGTTTTGTCGAAGTTTTTGTGTTTCATGGCTAGAACAAAGAAGAAATATCATAATTTAGATTTGAGGATGGAAGAAGAAAAGCAAATATTTTTACATGATGTTCAATAATGACATGAACTTCTCCTTTTGAACGAAGACCTAACATAGACGGTAATTTAACCCAATCTTCATAGGGACCTTTTCCGAAGACATGTTTTTTTAAATCAATCTTTGCTGAACCAACAGAATCTCGACCGACGACATCTTCATCGTAGATATGTAAATGCAAATGATCTTCATGCTTTTGCAAATTACTGGAATAAAAAAATAAAAAAAAATAAAAGCGATTCGACAAAACATGAATTAAATTACAAGGTAAATTTTTCATTCCATGTTGGATTATCTGAACCACTTATGGTTGTTGTTCGTTGTTTGTAATCTTTATCCAAATAAAGTTCAATATAAGCATCATCTTTACCTACAATATCTTCATCTTTCAGATTTCGAGCTTCAATAACCGTTACTTCGAGAGTACCACTCATTTTTCTGTCAGATTTCTTGTAAACGGTTAAATAAATAAGAATAAAAATATTCTTTACAGTCAATGACAAAATCACTTTGTTCTTTTTTCTAGTAAGAAAGAGAAGAAAAGAAATAATTATACTCATTTTTTCTTTTTTTTTGTAAATTTAACATTTGAGTAAATGCTATCGTATTAAATCAGGAGAAGAACGGACAAAATTGTCGTTCTCAAATACTTATGTTCATATTTGTATCCATAGTGATACTACAACTATTTAAACAAAGAAAAAATAAATCGTAAAAGTAGTTTATAATGACGACAACAAATTCTTTTATTAGATTTTATTATTGAACAAAAAGGAGTACAGGAGAATACTTTTTTGTATCTTTTTCTTTCTCACATCCACCTTCAAGACTGATTCATTGTTCAGTCAAGGTACTTTTCATATTCGAAGCTGGAGATTATTAAACGGAGCATATGAAGTTCAATTTTTTCCATTTATGTATTTAAATTTCATTTGTTGTGGTATTTTCTACATTTAAATTCGATCGATATATGGAAAATAAACAATAAATTAATAAACTATTAACTGAAGCTTTCGATTCATTGAGGAGTTATTGAAAGTAATAGCAATTAATGTTAACTATATAACTTGAATATAAATCTTTTGTAACTACGAATTGATAATTGAATTTTAATAATAATAATAAAAAAATTCGTCATCATTTATTTTTATTTTTAAGTTATGAAGAATACTTATGATAAAAACATCTAAATAGCTATAATGACAAATAGTATGCATTACGTTACTCTACTTTCTATTTTTACTATTCATATTAATAAAATAATTTCAACTGAAGTTTAATCAATTTTCTTTATTAAAGATTCAAAAATTTATTTATATTCATGACAATTTTATAATTTTTAAGGTTTCAATTCTACGACAAATCAATGATTATTCATGTATTTACAAAGAAAAAAAACAAAAATAACAATAAGCTTTACTAAAGCTCAGTCTTTCTTGTTTCAATCTAAATTAATAAGAAATAAGATAGAATTCTGTCTTAGTATGTTCATAATCAACGATGTGGATGAATGTGATATTCGAATAGGAATGAAATTAATTCTATATGTGATTAGCGTACTATGTTTGGCATACAATGAATAGTCTGTTTTTTAGGAAATTTTTCTTTTACGTCAGACACTTTTATTATTTGTATAAAAATACTTTTTATAATGCACGTTAATGGAATACTTTTAAGTTTTACAAAGTATAAATGTCTATTACTCAACAATTAATGAACCTTTTAAAAAAGTGTGTTCGTTAAAGTGATGTTTAGAGATAATGTCTAACACTTAAAGTATTCCATCGTTGCTCATCAAAATAGAAATGTTCTGCTATTATTTTTAAAATATCTCGAATATTAGCAGAGTAAACGAGTTGAATCATGTTCAGATTTTTGTTGGTTATAAAAAATAACATATTATAATCTTTTTTGATATTATTTAGTTAACAATGATGGTTCTCTATCCGTTCTATAATTATTGCTCTTTTCTTACGACTATTTGGTTATGGTTTCTTTTTTCGATCATTAAACAAAGTTATTGTGAAGAAATCTTAGCTAGTAAAGCAATATTATCAAGTGAAGGTACTCAATATATACCTGCTAATATGCCAGCTCAACTTATTTCAATAACAAACACTGATTCAATCAAGAAATGTGCTATATTATGTAACAACAATGTTCTATGTCGTGTTTTTGATTATGCAGTATTTTCACCAAAACAATGTCGATTATTTGAAGGTGATACAAATAGATTAGGTCAAATTCTTTCCTCATCTTCATCTCAATCACAAGTTGGCACTTCACAACTTTCTGCACGTCTTTTCGCTGAATACGGCAGTCCATGTATTTCTACTTGTAATCACATTCGGTATCTTCGATGTGGTAGTAATTCTACATGTGAATGTATGCCACATACTTATTGGAATGCATCAATTTCTATGTGTATTCCACAGTTGCCAATACTTGGTGCATCTTGTCAACAAAATATAAGCATGTGTAGAGAAGATCTTAATTATACATGTTTACAATTTAATCAATGTGGTCGTAAGTTATACAATTTTCTTTTTCTCTGATTTCTTCCATAATCAATTCTACTTTTTATCTTTATAGCATTATCAGTACTTTCTGGAACAACAATTGCGGATGATACCACTGTAATAAGAAATAGTTCGACTGTTGGTCTATATTATCCATATGGAATTGGTATATTTGGAACCAACAGTGACTCAATTATTATTGTGGATTGCGTAAATAATCGTATTCTCAGTTTATGGGATGCTGATACAAATTATAAAAATATTTCTGTAGTGGCAACTGAATGGGCTCCTGGACAGCCTCTGTCCCTTCCTTATGATGTATATGTCAATGCTAGAAATGGATGTGATATTTATGTTACTAACTATGGTAATCCTCAAGTTGTATTATATTCTAACATGCAAACAATTAATCCACTACCGCGCATGGTAGCAGCTAACGGTGGTAGTGGAACAGGACTTGATTACTTGAATGCTCCATTTGGAGTAGTAGTAGATAGCAATAAGAATGTCATCGTTGCTTCTATGACAGATAATCGAATAATGTTTTGGCCTCCAAATGCTTTGAGTGGTACAATAATAGTTGGTCATATCTCAGCTATTAATGGCAATACTTCTATGGATCTTGATACACCTCAAGGAATAGCACTTGATGAACACAATTCATGGTTGTATGTTGCTGATGCAAACAACCATCGAATTCAGCGTTTTAACTTGAATGATACTTGGCCATGCAACGGCACTACAGTAGCAGGCGGCAATGGTCCTGGTTCACGAAGCAATCAACTCTTTTCTCCATCTTATATTAAAATATCTAATAAGACGGGAGCCTTGTACATAGTGGACTCCAATAATCACAGAATTCAACGTTGGAATCAAGGAGCAACTGAAGGAGTAACTATTGCAGGTGATCTTAATGGTAATCCAGGAACCAATGATACGATGCTTAACTATCCTACAGGATTAGCTATTAACCATAATGAAACATTAATGTATGTAACCGATACAGGTAACAATCGC